CATAGAAACTCTTTCCCGTGGAGTTTCTGTTCCTTTCAAGACTTACATTTTGGTATCCAGCATTTGGCTAAAAATGGCTAAGTGCAATTCCTTGGCAGACCAACAGAGTTGCATCATTGCAACAACTTCACACCGTGCTTTATTTCTGAGAAAGAATATACTGGTTTTGTAGCCTTTTCTTTCCAGGTAGTAAAGGAAATTTAAAAGTGTAAGGAAACAATGTAAGCCAGGCCAATCACTGTGAGGAATCACAGCACTCCAAAAAAAGCAATTTGACCAGGCAGTGACCTCCAGAGCAGCCAGAAAGTGTCATTCAGTTCCTTTATGAACCTTATGCTACTTCCTTGTTTGTCAGTGTAATCTCTTAATCACTTATTCATCACAATTCTTAACATGGAAAAGCTGTTTAAAAATCTGAATCCCACAATAGTCACTATAAAATATTCCTTGGCCTCCAAGCAAACAGTATAGAACTAATTCTAGAGGAATTAAATAAAGTAACGTGTAGGCTGTCATTGCTGAGCTCTTCAAGACAGGAATGAACACACCCACTCAGAGCAAGAACATCTCAAATCTGTAAAGCACCAAAATCGTGATTCCAGATTAAAAACTAGACAGGCAATCAAATCTAAATTTCTTTTAGTCTTACCTGGAAGAGTCTTTCAATGTTAAAGCTGCCATTGCCTCATCTGATGGTTTTATTTATACTGTGCACAAAGTGCTATTATTGTTCCTTTTTACCCTCTTCACACTTCCCACCATGTTACAAGGCTGCACAACACAGATCATTGTTTACTTAAATTTTTGGAATAAATATTCAAAGGAAAAATATAGAATTTATTTCATGTTCAATCATATGAATATGTGCTTCCTTCTCCTTAGAGGTGGGTCGTCACAATGAAGAATCCAAGTCTATCTCTGTATCTAAATTCACCAGAGTTAGTAAAAAGTTGTGGGTTTTTTTGTTTTGGCTTGTTGGGTTTTTTTAAAAAGCTGACATAATTTTAGCAGACATATTTTGTTTAATCTATTTTTATACTTAATTTTGATGCTTCAGTCTGGCAGTATTTGTTTTTCTAAACTGTAGGTTAGAGCAAGAGATTTTATTTTGCTTTTAGATGACAAATCTTGGAACCCTGTAGTATGTTGTAGTATTTTGGGAGCAGTGGATGCTTAGCCTGGAGAAAAGGAGGCTCAGGGGGGACCTTATCACTCTGTACAACTACCTGACAGGAGGCTGGAGCCAGGTGGGGGTTGGTCTCTTCTCCCAGGTTACAGGTGACAGGACAAGAAGAAAAGGCCTCAAGTTGTGCCAAGAGAGGTCTAGACTGGATATTGGGAAAAATGTCTTCACTGAAGGGAGAGCGGTCAGGCACTGGAACGGGCTGCCCAGGGCAGTGGTGGAGTCACCACCCCCGGGAGTGTTCAGAACCCATGTGGATGTGGCACTTGGGACATGGTTTAGTGGTGGCCTTGGCAGTGTGGGGTTATCGGTTGGACTCGGTGATCCTGGAGGACTTTTCCAACCCTAAGGATCCTGGGATGCTGTGGTGCACCTGCCAGCCAACACTGGGCTGCAGGAAGGCACCTTGTACTTTCCAATGGCTTCTCCAGCAGAGATAACAGGAGTATGGATTTGATATGAGCAGGTTCTTCCCAACTGAATCGAGTTTTCAACTGGCATTGAACTGACCTATTTAAAACCCCAACCAAACAAACTAACAAACATCCCTGTTTCAGAAAGGGAGATATTTTCTACTCTGATTCAGTGATGCTTCCCTCATGGCTGCCTGCCATGTTGTTACATCCTGTAGTGCCAACAGAAATATAATCTTATTTATTCCAGAAAATTCCAAACAATAACTAGATCTGTTCTCCCTCAAATCACCACGGTACAGTGACACATGAGTATCTTTCAATACCAGCTAAATCCTGAATTAATCCAGCCAGAGGTTTCTGGGTGTGCAGGGCTCTGCAAGGCATCCTTGCACGGGCAGGGAGATGTGTCTGGCACGTCTCTGCCCCTGGCTGATCCCCGGGATCAACTAAGAGCCTTCTACTTATACTAACACAGAAGGGCTCTTTTTGGACACTTTCCCTCAAGGATGGTCAGATTTCCAGTTTCCAAATATAGTCTGTGGACTGGATCGAGCCAGAAATTCTTTCCCCACAAATCAGGATACACAGTGTTCTGGAACCCACAGGAGGCTGGGAATGCCAGGTTCCTAAATGGAACTTTGACACATGGTGATGAAGCACCAATGCTCATCCCACAAACAAGCAAATTACTGTTGTAGTAAGTGAAAGCGTGTCCTTCCTGCAGAAATCTTGTTGATTTAAGGCAAGGAAAGAGTCTTGCTGCAAACATTCAGGATTCGTTCATCCTAGGACCAATATACGATTAAATTTTAATAATGAGTTTTAATTGTGCTCTCAAAAGAATTCGGTGTCTTCACCATAAATGTATGTCTGTTCACAATTTCTTTTGGAATCTGGGTAAAATATAATTGGAAATGGCAATTTTTTTCATGATTCACTGAATTCCAGAGTAACTGAGTGTTTTGTTAGATGCAATTTCCAGCTGATAAACTGCAGCTGTTCCATTCTAGGTTTTATCTCCTAAGCCAGAGTTCAAGGTTGTCTTCCCTTCTGCATCAGTGAAAACATGCAAGTGGTTCTTTAGTGACATTTAAAACAAAACATTTATTATAGTGGCTCAGATACTTTGTCAGTTTTGCTTTAATTAAGCGCCTGTCACTTGTTGCTCTGCAACATGTAATTCCCATTAAGTCATGACAAATTTAGTTTTCAGCTGCTCCAGAAGATGTTAATGTGAGTACATCAATATTCATGTGTCTTGACAGATCGTGAGGTTTAATAAATTGCTTTCTATAAAATAATTTCTGTGGAATCAGGGGTGTTCCTCTGATAGCACAAAGGAAGCATGACGCTCAGATATATAAAATATAATTTATTTTTCACTGCATCTAAAATTTAATAAATTATTTCTCCAGAAAGTAATGAGAGATTTGGATTAGGCTAAATATATAAAAAAAGTGGAAGACAATTAGGATTAAAAAAATCTTCACTTTCATGTGGTTAAACGCTCAGTTTGCACATAAGGAAAGATTGTCAATGACTCAATTCTGTTAGCATTTCATTTTGGTCACACCAGAAATTTATCATGATTATGTTTTGGCTTACAGAGCAATTCAGGACCTGGCTGTGTTAGGAGAGTTTGGTCAGAAAACATGGGCAGTGTGTGCTGGAATGAGGAATCCTCAGAACTGGGATTTGGTCTGAAGAGCACCACATGTGTCTGCTTGCATTTTTATAAATAAAAGATGATGGCTGTGTATCTAATAGGAAGGGCATGTGTATTTAGAGCTATTTTAATGGATTTTACTTCTGTAAATATAAAGAAAATAAAAGCAATGTATAAAAAAAGAAACACAATGAACATTTGCACTTATATAATACAATTATTAGTATATTGCTAATACAACAAAAAATGCCTTTAATATTTGAATCAAACTAACCTTGAAGAATATTACCAGGTGTAGCTCTGTGCCTAACTTGTAGTGGAAGTCTATGGAAGAAACCCCAAACAGCCTTTCAGGTCATTTAAAGTTTCATTTCCTTTCTGCTTATCCCAGGAAGATGACTGCAGAGTGGTCTTTTCCCAAAAATCCTCAGGAGGAAATTAAAAATATTGCAGAAGGAAAGACAATATAATTTGCTGATTATTATTTCTCTTTGCCTTCCTATCTTTGAAAAGGAATTTATTTACCTCTTCCATAACTGTTATTCCCAAAGATGTATTGTGCAAATATTTCTGTCCCCTGGAATGTGCATGACTTTTATATCTAGGTTGGATACTTTGTGATAGTTTGGGAAAAGAAAGTGGAACAAAATGTGCCAGAGACTTAAGGATTGTTTAGGTCCCATTAAGTGAAGGTGAGAGCTACCATTAGCAAGGGTTTATGACAGCATTTGAGTCAACCAAATTTATTTGATTTTATTTGACTTGATTTGTTTTGATACAGAAAGTGGTAACCCAGCTGTGCTCAGAGTTAGGGCTGGGGAAAAAAAACAACAGAAGAACTTGGTTTATTACAAGATCTTTTAAATACTGATGAGTTAGAGAAAGGCATAGAGCTGATAAAGGATAATTAATTTTTTGTTTTTATATAGAATTATAGACTAGCTATAGATTAACTGTGGTAAAGGCAAGCCATTACATTCAAGCAAAGAATTGCTGAAGTACTTGATGTATTTCTGGGGTCCATATGCCCTGGAAGCCTGGGTTGCAGACCCCAGCTCTGCATGAGTAGATCAGGGAGGACAAAAAAATACTTTCTTTGGTCATGCTTAGCTGTCAGCACTGTGGTAGCACAACCCCTGTTTATTACTTCCCAGCCACATATAAATCCATTGGCACCCTGGGAGCAGCCACGAGCGTCTCACTGCTCCACAGATGAAGATATTTCGGAGTGCTGCTGCTGTAAATACAGAAGTTCTCAGCCAGATGGTGCTGGGGGGGACTTGGCAGCTCTCTGCCCATTAAAATATGGTGAGGTTAGTTTGAATGAGGATCTGAGTGCCAGGTCCTTGGCAAAAATCTGGTGTACCTGCGTGCCTGGTCTTTTACATTTAGTGTCTTATACCTCGGGCAAGCCTGAAGGGTGTTACAGTGACAAGTAATTTTGGGAACACAGTCACCTTGGAGCACAATCCAACAGCATGAGGGAGGAGAATTTGGGCCAAGGAAATAAAGGGAAACCCCTACTCTTATAATAAAAAGATGCCAAACAGATGGTAACCAATTCAATGCATGGTGAGATGTCAAAAACATGTTGAGCACCATATTGAGACCTGTTCAGGGAAAATCACAGAGCTATTTATTCTGTTATGCTTTTGAATGACCTGTTAATTTAATAGTAGGAATAAACCCTTGCTTTGTACAATTGCAGGTCTGCTGCTGATCCTTCAAGTTAAGTGAGGTTATTCTCAGGAGCAGCTGTCAAGATCAAGAAGTGATATGTAATTTGACTGCTACAAAGAACTGGTGTACTATGATTGCTCTTGATATAAATATCAAAAGTATGAAGGAATCATCACTTTCACTCTGAAGACTTCAGATCACCAATTTAAAGAAAAACAAAACACTTGTTCTTCTGAACAGGTATGGGGTTTTTTTGACCTGAGACATAAGAAATGGGTACTGAGCTGTTATCACTGAAACTGTACAGCCTTTCTCTCTCTCCTCTCCTCCCCTCATCTGCCACTTCAGCTTTTTTTCTTACATTAGATAACAGTTCTGTTGCAACTGTATTTTTATGCTACTCTCTCATTTTGCTGGTAGACATTCTTGTTGATGTGAGTCTTTTTACACAGCAACAGAGAAGAAAAAACCAGTAAGTGATCTTTTACTACGTGTCTGCTTCTAGAAAAATATATGTATTTAAGGGCCTTCTTAAAGGGAGCTAATCTAACTTGAACCCCCATCTAAATTATGAGGAAAACTGTATCTATCCCAAACAACAGTTTTATCAGCCAGCTTCCCTCCTTGCAAGCACCCAACAGTATGCAAACAAAGAAATCTTTACTTGGAAAGAATGAATTATAAACCTGAAAATCATAGAACTAAACTGATGCCATTGTTGAACCTGTTGGGCAGCTGAGAGAGGCCCATGGTCCAGCCAAGGCAGACTTGGTAGCCAAGCAGCTCACCTGGCTGGTCAAATTTGGGATATTGTGTGGGAGACCCAGAGCTGTTCATGTTGTAGAAGGCAAAGGGTGGCCTAATGTGTATGAGATGAAACCTTTATTGACCCATCTCCTCTCCCAGTTTGTGGATCAGGTATTCCACAGTGTCCTGCAGAGAAGAGGGAACAGCCACACCTTGTGATTTGAACACAATATAGAAATGAGCTCCCAGAAGGAGAACCCAGTTCTTCTGCCGCACTCATTTTCTACATCTAAACTCATGTATAGATATGGTGATTTCCCCAGTGGAATTAGAAACAATGTGGATATTTAACAGTAATTTTGGCAGTTAAAAGAGAAGGGGTTAATGGCATCTGCTGAGGAGGAGATGGGCTGGAGAAAGCAAAATGCAGAGAAGCCTGTAGTTCTGCTCTTAATTTGGACAGCAGACAATAAGACTTGTCCAAAATATAGGAAAGGATACCTTTGGACAGGATAAGGTTTCAAATGTCAGTGTAGGATGTGGTATTTTACTAATTTGCACTAGCATGAAAATTGACCAGTTTATGCACAGGAAGCTCTTTACTGCACTTCTTTTAAGAGCTGATCTCTCCCGGGCAATGTGGTTGTGGATGAGACACAGCCAATGACAGTGTTCTGAGTGGAATCCAAAAGCCAAATTGGCAGTGCAGGTGGCGGACAATAAATTAGATTTTAAAAACTCTTTCAGGTTCAATAACTTGAAATGAGCCCAGATATATAAGTTTGAGACAAGAAATAGACCAAAAATATGTCAGTGTTCCAGAGGCGGACTGAAAAAGGTGGAAGGAAGCACAAATCTGTAAAATGATTTGTACTTTAGCAGCCAGATGCCAAACCAGTATTAGCGTCACTAAAATGAATGTTGGAGAGCAAAATATTTTATATCACTACACAGCAACGTGGTTATTTTTGAGGACCCCATCACCGAGGTTTCTGTTACCAGCTCAAATCCTGCTAAGACACCGTGTAACAACGGGCTGTGCTTTGACGCTGCACCCCGTGTTTAACATTCACTGTGGTGTCTGCAGATCCCAGGAGTGCTTTGTGCCCATGTTCTCCACGGACATCTCACGGATCCGTCCTCAAACAAGGTCACGCTGCATCCCACTGACCCTTCCCATGGAGGCTCTTCGGAGGGGATGCCGAGCTGGAAGCTTTTCAGCGGGGCTTCGCTCGCAAGCTAATCACCCCGTATGTGAATAAAACGGCCATACAAAGAGGGTCGTAAAGGTCAGACAGGCGTTTTACAGAAAGGAAATTTAAAGCTTCTGAAAACCTTTCCGTTTCCCCTCTGGCTGCCCTACCTGGCAGCGCCTGCTGCCAACTATGACGTGCAGGGCAGGGTCGAGCCAGCTCGAGTTCAGGACTGTTGGGAATGAGTAATTTTGTGCGCTCTAAGATCTGGCAAAGCAAAAACAGACAGAAAAAAAATATAAAGAGGTAAAACACATTTCAAGCGGCGTGCGCGCTGTGCGGGAGCAAACCGGCGAGAGAAGGTCCGCAGCAGCTCAGCGACAGCCGCGGCGGCTCCTCACAGCTCGCTGCAGGCTGCGCGGGTTTGCCTTCGCTTCCCCCGGGGAGGCCGAGCAGGAGCGGGTCGAGCTCCGCGTCCCCCGGGTCCCCTCAGCGGCGCTTCCGGCCCGCCCGGCCCCGCCATTGGCGCGCGCCCCGCCACCGGAAGTGATGGCGGGCGGGCCCCGCCCCGCGCGCGCCGTTCAAACGCGGGCGGCGGTAAAGGCGGGAGCGCGCGGGGCCGGGCGGGGCCGCGGGGAGGGGGCTCTGAGGGGACCTCAGGGGTGGGGGCTCTGAGGGGACCTCAGGGGGGGCTCTGAGGGGACCTCAGGGGTGGGGGCTCTGAGGGGGGGACCGGGGGGCTGAGGGGTCCCTGAGGCCACCGGGGGCTTGGGGGGGGGGGCTCCACACCGTCCCACCTGCGGCCGTTCCCTCTCCGCCCCAGGGAGGCGGTGGAGCCGCCGTGCCTGGAGGTGTTTAAGGAAAGACTGGATCTTGCTCTGAGCGCCCTGGTCTGGTTGACACGGTGGTGTTCGGTCACAGGTTGGGCTCCATGATCTCAGAGTTTTCCAGCCTAATTGGTTGGGTGATTCTCCCCTCCCCACACCCCCCTGTTCCCCAAATTGCTGCGACGCGCCAGGCGCGTTCAAACTTACCACTATTAGTAAATTTCTGCCCCGAAGGAATATAAATGTTGCTTAGATTACATCCACCCTCATCTCCTTATTTTTAATTTAAAGTCAGCCATTCAAGTTCCTGCTGAATGTCCCTGTTCTCTTTTTCAGGTGATTGTTTATACGGGATAAGCTCGTACAAGTAAAGATGTTGAAGTTTAAATGCGGTGCCCGAAATCCGGTCGAGGCAGGAGCGATGGAGCCCATCACCAGCCGAGCTTCTCGGCTGAATCTGCTCTTTCAGGTAAAGAACATCTGGCTTGGGAGGAGCTGATCTCGGTTTTGTTCCTGTCCACTCCCTGCATGTCAAAATACAGCCTTACTTGTTTGGGTGGATGCTCAAAGCGTGCCTGTGTCACTGTTTGGGGGAAGGGGTAAAAGAAGTGGATAAATAAGTGAAGTTCAAAGTGTATCTGCTTTGCACAAAGTTCAGTGGACAGTATCAGGTCTGATGTTTTGTACATGTGTCAATGCTTTAGCCTGATGGATTTTTCCATGCAAAGATGAAATATTGCATTCTGTGCCCTGTAATCTTCATTTTTTCCATGGGTGATGTAGCTGTGGGTTTGTCCTGAGATGAATTTACCTAACCAGCTGCTATTTGATCATCTGAGGGTCAGCAGCTTTTCCCCTAGAGTTAATATTGATACTGATTGCTTCAACCATTTGTACCATGAAAAAACCACACATGATACAATGTCAAGGAAAAATCTAGTCAGATCAGAGTCATCAGGAGAGTGTAGGTAGTTTCAAGGAAGCTGAGATTTGAACTTTAAAAATCATTAAGATTGCTTTGTCTAAAAGTAAAATACCTGTGACAGCTATTACAGAAAGACACAGTGAGTTGATATGTTTACCTCACACTTCTGTATCATTTGCCTAATTTCTGAAGAAGTGATTTTAAAATGAATAATATATAATCTGCTCTATACATCTGTTATTGATTTGAGGCTTTTCATTGTTGTCTGAGACTCCATCTGCTGTTGCTGCTTTTTTTTTCCAGGGGAAGCCACTCTTTGTGACTCAACAGCAGATGTCTCCTCTCTCCCGGGAAGGCATCCTTGATTCGTTATTTGTTCTTTTTGAAGAGTGCAGAAATCCTGCTTTAATGAAAATTAAACACGTTGGCAACTTTGTCAAGAAGTGTAAGTTTGTTTAAACTAATTTTCAGGTGTCATTTTAAAAGTCAGTTCTTAGTAATCTGGATGTTTAAGTAATGCTTTAGTTGCTTTGATCCATTAATGAATGTAACCCAGGACTTTGAGCATCTGACTTTTTGTGGGCAGACTCAACATTGCAAAGGGGATCTTGGCAGTCTTAGTAAAGCTTTGTTCAGGTCCAAGATCAAATGCAAGTGGCTTTTGAAGTGCTGTGACTCGAATGTGCATCCTCCTTAGTCTGTACTATATTTATATCCGAGGAGGCACTTTCTTGGAAAGTGTCTGAGCACTTGATACAGCAAAGCTCCAAGTGCACACAATAGAAGGATGTCAGAAGTTGAGAGCAGGGTAGTGACTAGAGGGATGAGAAAAAAAAATTCAAGAAAGGAACTTGATAATCCTTGGCTCTTTCATGTTTTGGATTCCTTGTGTTACCCAAGTTTTGCATGTGCAACTTGTGAATAGTGTTTCTGTGCTTCAAAGATATAATTTCTAAAGGAGTAAATATGTTACTGATAACGTGCTTGGATTCCTTTCAGGGAAGAGAGAAAATAAAAGGTTCATCAATTTTTCTATTAAAATATAGCAGAAAACCATTTGGTAACAAGCAACGTGTCATGCCCTCTGTAACAGCTCCATCCAGTGATTTCTAGATATTGTTATTGGACAGTAATTTTCTGTCGGTCTGAAGAATTTTTAGAACTGTCTCCCATGAGCAATTGAGTATCACCCTGCATGCTGGTCAGTGGAAAACTCGAGCTGAATATCTGCAATAAATGCCTGTGGTTGGTTGTTAGACAATGGACTAGTGCCTCCCTCAGGCAGAGGAGCAAACCCTGCCCCTGGACTCCGGTAAAGCCCTCGTATGTAGGGAATACACTTTGTGTTGGTAAAGGGTGGCTGGAAAGAAATTGGAAACCAAAGAGGCTCTCAACCTCTGATGTTGTGAATGGGGCAGAATTATGGTTGCTATGAGAACTGTCTTAGCATTTCCTGATTCCTTTGTATGTACCATATTTCAGACTTAACTCTGCATCGATACATTCTTTTTCTAGTTCTTATGCATGCTGTTATTTTTAAGAAGCATATTCTGGAAAGATTTAACATTTCTTGAGAATCTGGAACTGAATGTCTTTTTTTTTTTTTTTTAAATTTTTTTTTTAATTTAGTTTTATTCCCCAGTTTCGATGCCTTTTTTTTTTTAATGAAATGCCAGTTGGCCAATGTAAAAATAAGTATTTTATTTTTATAGATGCAGAGGCTATAGCTGAACTAAAGGAACTGCAACCCAGTGTGAAGGATTTTGAAGTAAAGAGTGTGGTTGGCTGTGGTCACTTTGCAGAGGTCAAAGTAGTAAGAGAGAAAGTTACTGGTGATATATATGCTATGAAGGTGATGAGCAAGGAGTCCTTGCTGGCGCAGGAGCACGTACGTATATGTGTGTTCTTACAGGAGGAGGATAAATTGCAATTTGTTAAACACTTCCTTTTTGTCACTACTATTAGAACAAAGCTAAAACTGTACCTTGAGAAGGTTCATCCTACATTTTGGTAAAGCAATAAGTCTGTGTGTAGTTTTGCTGTGTTTAAAAGCCATTGTCATAGTCCGTGGACTGGCTGAAGTGCCATCCTCAGGTGCTAAAACATGGCCTGTGTCTTCAAGAGCTTAACATCAACTGTAAGACAAGAAAAAACAGATGAAGAAAACACTGAATCAGTATTGATCTGCTTGTTGATGGCTTGGGTTTTCAGGCAATCTATTCATTAAGGGTTTTTTTTTATTTTAAAGAGCAACGTAGAATGTCACGAGTGGGTGTGAAGGCAAACTGGTGATTGGGTTTTTATGGAAAACCTCTCGCTACCTTGAGAAATGTGTTACTTTTAAACTTTAAAAAGGGGTAACAGAGGTTGTTATCATAGTTTAGTGAGAAACAGAAGTTAATTCTTTTACTGACTTGAGATGACAAGCAGGACAGAGACACTCCATGAAAGACCTCTTGAATTTATACAGCAATATCTGCATTAGTTGATCTCCATACATGGTGCACTTAGGTTGCTCCTGAGATTCCTTATAATTTTTTGTAGCTACTAAAAATGAAGCTAGGCTAAAATTGTTCTTTCTATTGCATAGAATAACAAGAAAGCAAAGTAGGATACTACCCTCATATGGCACTTGCTCATTCTTGTTCATTGTGGGTCAGTGAAAGTAGGGAATGTTGGTCTAAAGAAATTTGCAGTATTCTGTAATAAAATTAATTTCTTGTTGTCTGGCTGAACATCTGAACAATTAAATAGCTGCTAGAGGATGATTTCATCAAAGCCTTGTATTTTAATGCCTTACAATGAATGTATTACTAAATTGGCTGTAAAATGCTACCCCATAATTGGTCCAGCTTCTTTTCTGCTTGTCTGATTCTTTTGAGATTAGTTTTATTTTATTGGGGCCAGTCCAGATGAAGTCAACCAGGATTGCACTCCAGACTGGTGGATGCTTCAACAGATTGAGAGGGAAGCTGGTCTTTGCTGCAGGGACTGTTCAGTTGAAAGCAAGCTAGACAACAGAAGGTGGGAGGGGAACAGAAAACAAAAAGAAGTAAAATTAAATTACTTTTTTAAAGGTGTATATCACAAGGAAATAGCACTTAAAATTTCTGTGTAATTTTTTTGTGATGTGTGCCTTTGGCACAGACTCAAATTTTTCTCAAACTAGGGAATTCTAATGTATTCTAACTCCCTCTCATCATGATATAACTGAACACTTTTTTTCTGTAGGTGTCATTTTTTGAGGAAGAACGCAGCATATTAGCTCAGAGCACCAGTCCATGGATTCCACAGTTACAATATGCATTTCAAGACAAGAAAAATCTCTACTTGGTAATGCCTACTCTTTGTTTTTCTCCTCTGTTGAACACCACTGCTGTTGTTATATGTGAACACATGGTTGAAATGTGCTCATTTTCTGTTAGTTTTCCTGCACTACAAGCCACTATTTGATATGTGTCCAGTGTAATATGGAGGAGTTGAATGGAATATCTTTTGTGTGCATGAAATATGTGTTCTTTTAAAATTTAATGTAGGTTATGGAGTATGAGCCCGGAGGGGACTTGCTGTCACTCTTAAACCGCTATGAGGACCAACTGGATGAGAATATGGTGCAGTTTTATCTGGCAGAGTTGGTCTTGGCCATTCACAGTGTCCATCAGATGGGTTATGTGCACAGGTAGGTAAAGTTTGCTTTGCAGAGCACAGATATGTTTAATCAGTATCATTCCAGAGAAGGTGTTCTGGAATGATGCATTCTTGTGTGATTTCTTTTATTTTATATTCTGTCCTCTTTCAGGACAGTATTTCACAAGCTGCATTGGAAGACAAAATTAGAAAATTAATCAGACTCCCAACTATAATTGTAGCTAAAGGCATTAACTTTGATGTAAAGTTCGGCCTAATATCAAGAAAGGATTGTTACATATATTTTTCTGGAGGCTCAGTAAAAAGAAGCCTTAATGTTGCACTATAAAAAATTTAAATCTTTTCCAGAGATTGCTGCTTTTGGCACCAAAGAGTGTGGGAAATCAGTGTAATTGTTAAAAATTGTTGTGTGCTGACTGGCGAACAGGGCAGTATAGGATGTTGGAGTAGTTAAATATCACAGTTTTCTCTCAAGGCTTGGAGGCTGATGTGTGCATTTTCAAATCATATTGGTATTTAATAAATTTATTCCATTCCGAGGATGTGGAAATTATTAGGAATTATTTTATGTTCCAGGAGGTGCAGTGGCTGCACTTAGAGCACAAGCTGTGGCCTTCTAATGCAAGGTCACTGCCTGGATTTGGAAGATGAGCAGAATAAGTTGCAAGGGAATTTGGGAAGAAAGCTACCTCATACTTTACTGTAACTCAGTTACAATGTGGTGAGGGTGCAAAACCACCTTCTCTTTTCATCTTCTATCAATAATTACTAACCTTCCATGAAATAAGGGGAACTTTAATACGTTCCTATTTGGTTGGAAACAGAACAACAGTTGGAAATAAGGCTCCCACTTGAAAGTGCAGCTGAGCAGAGGGTTGAGTATAACTGAATAGGGCTATCCTGTTATCTGGATGTGAGAGGAGGGAATAGCATGGAAAGGTGCTGATGGCTTTCCTCTTGCTTACAGAGATATCAAACCAGAGAATGTTCTTATTGACCGAACAGGACACATTAAACTGGTGGACTTTGGGTCAGCTGCCAAGATGACAGTAAACAAAACGGTAATAATGTGGATTTAAACTTTGTCTGTGGCTTATTTGGATAGTCCAGTCAAAAGGGGAAAACTAACTTGGTATTTATTCCTGGACTGCACCTTGCTTTTCTACCTCTCTTGTCCAAGAATCTGCTCTTAATCATATTTTTCTATTTATGAAAGGCTTTTCAAACATGAGCTCGAATATCTTTTGCAACCCTCAGTAGATATATATTAGCTTATTGAATACATATAAATACACAGGTAAGGTTTAGGCAAGACTACTTACTCATGGTGCTGTGATACAAAATCATCCTTTTAGAGGTTCTTACAGCTGTTTAATGCTGTGTTTAAAGAGGACGTGGATTTCTAATTGTTCATAATTGGAAGGAAGATCGTGTCTGTTGTAACTAAGGTGGCATAGCTTTGAAGACTGGGGATCTCTTGGTTAAAATGAGTCACATTCCTGTGTTCTGGGCTTCACTCATCAGAAATCACTACATTCAAATCTGAATCAGTGGAGTTTTTTATAAGTTCCTTGTAAGTTTTGGTAACTGCAAACAACTTTCAGTGAAAATTTAAAATTAAAATATATCTAAGTGAGAACATGAGAATTTGCACCAGATTCCGGTCTCGTTTTACAGTTTTTCTTTCTTCATAGCATTTTCTTTTTGATGTGATTCTTACCATTCTCTTTTCCCTGTTCTTGCATTTTCAGTGCTTTCTGCATTGCATTTTCCTTTTAAGTGTTTTCTTCACATTACCTTTTCAGTCACCCTCAGGTTTTTAGCCTACCTGCTGTTCTGTTTCATTCTTTATGCCACTCAGTGCAAAAATGATTGCAGTTTTGACTCCTGAGTTACCTTTACTAAGCAGTCCAGAAATTCAGATATTAGTGCTCTGCTGATCATGAACATAAGGTAAAAAGGTAGGGGTGAGAGAGGAATGAGGGCAGGGAATATTATGTCTAAATTTAACTGGTTTTGAAATTTCAGCTACAATATCCCTGTTAATACTACTTGAAGCAGTAGAGCTAGACTATGTTTTCTGCTTAAAACATCAGTTTAGTAATCCTGTGCTTTTTGGAATGCAGCTTTTCTGCTTTAGGAGTTTGTACTTTCTAATAACAGTTGGCTCTGATGATTTGACTCCTTTTATACCAAATAGCTTGCTTTGTTTGTTTATCAGCAGTGTCCTTAATGTTGCACTTATTTGCCAAACAGCCTTGCTTAAAATTACTTACTTAAAATTCACTTGGAGGGCTGAAAATTATGCCTCATTAAAAAAAAAAAAAAAAAGGAAAGAAACAAGATGAAAATGAACAGAAAGTGCTGTAATGTCACTTGGTATATCTTTGCTTCTAGGTGAATGCCAGGCTGCCTGTTGGCACACCTGACTACATGGCACCAGAAATGCTGACAGGGTTGAGTGGGGATGGCAAAGCCTCTTATGGTCCAGAATGTGACTGGTGGTCCCTCGGAGTCATTGCCTATGAAATGGTTTATGGAAGAACTCCCTTCACTGAAGGGACTTCAGCAAAAACTTTCAATAACATCATGAACTTCCAGGTAGGGAGAACTCCTTCCCTGTTCTCGAGTAAAAAGGGTGTAACTAAAGACTATTTTTACAGTTGAGAAAAGAAGCTTTTGGATGTATCTGTCACGTTCATAAAATATTTGGAATATATGCTTTATATTGTATTTGCATGTCTCTGGAGTGTAGGTATCAAGTAATTTTTTGTAACAGGTGTCATAGTCCCTGATTCAGAAAATCCTAAGCCACAAACCCTTGGAAGTTTGGGAGAATTTTCTGGGAAAGTGTCTTGTTTTACTCTTCCATCTGTGTGTGCCATTGGCCATTGCTCAGCATAAGATGGTGACCTGGGATACCATTGGCCTGGGTGGGAATGATTGTTCCTGTGTTCTTATCTTTGCTGCAGTAAATGCATATAAAAGCCTGTTTGGATAAAAAGCACCCTGCTTTTATTTGTGTGCTATAAATATTCATCCTTTGTGCCTGACATATCTCAGAATAATGAAACTTAATCTTACTGTTCTGAGCCTGTTTTCCTACTGAGCAGAAATCCATTTCTTTCTAATGCAGAGATTTCTGAAGTTCCCAGAGGATGTGAAAGTTAGCAGTGAATTTCTTGACCTGATCCAGAGCCTGCTTTGTGGGCAGAAGGAAAGGCTGAGTTATGAGGGTCTCTGCTGCCACCCATTTTTTTCTAAAATTGACTGGAATAATATCCGTAACAGTAAGTAGAATAAAGCTGTATTTATAAAGAATTTCTGATTCTTTGGTTAATGGGAAAATTGGTACAATGTGAGTATTTGTGTGTTTGGTTTGAATTATTCATTATGAAACAGGACTGTGTCCTGGAGCAGGTGTTTTTAACAAAACAGCTCATTTTGGGTTTTTGAATAGGCTATGTTAACATCTCAGGTGAAAACTGTAAGGTGAGATGAGTTTAATAAAACTCCATATGAATTTCTGATGCAATTGCCATATTACTGCAGGCACTAGACTGGAAAATCAAAATGGTCCTTTCCATGTCCTTTCTCAGATTAAAATGCATCAGTAGGTTCATTCAGGCCTCTACCACCTCAGTTTGCTTAATTTGGGCTTCATCTCCTTTTTTTTGTTGTATCTTCAGCTTTCTCCTTCGTTGCTCGTGAACAACTTCACTTTAAGGTTGGTTTATTTTTTGTAGTTTCTGTAGGTGATGAAATGTCCATGGCTGTAGGACCACTGAGTTTTTCCTCAAAGTCAATGGGGATAATATATCACTGTTTTGTTTTTTTTTGGTCAAAAATCTGTTCATTCAGCTAGGAGTAGAATAAAACCACTGAGGCAGATAATTTTCTGTGCAGAAAACTGTTTATAATACTATGTAAACAATGGAATTTTGTGTTTGGAAGTACTGAGGCTCCAGCTCCACAGCAAAAGCAAATATTTCACAGATCATCAGTGATCTCTATATGGGCGTCTGACTTGTGTTGGATAGTATTTGAAATTATTTGGACTGTAAGATTATCTGGGCAGGCAACATGCCTGCCTTATATTTTTTAATCAAATATGCAGTAAGGGAATGATTGTGCTCCATTTTCCATGATAAATTGCTAAGCCCAGTGCTTCTACTTTTGATGACTATCTCAGCACTTCAGCTGTCAGCTCCACAGACTGTTTGCTCACTTTTCTGTTGATTCATTAATTTTGAACTTGTGGAGTTGCTGTTCTGTTAAATTCCATTGTTTCTGCCCTTTGAGAGCCATTGAGCCTCAAGCCCTTTTCATCATTTTAGCATACATTTCCCAGCTCACTCTGCCTTCTTTTCCCCAGAGCCCTGCCTAAGCCACCAGTGTCTGAAATTTTTCTATAACATTTATATCATATTATCTCTGATCTAGAAAAAAAATAGTGCCATGTGAACATCTGTTCTGGTGTTTCCTTAGCAATTGCCCATCTAGGATTCACACAACTGCACCAGTTCATTGAGCATTTTTGCCACTTCATGTAGCAGTGGTGATGCTGATGGGCAAGCTGGTAGGCAGCCCTGATTGTCATTACAGTGTTGAAATAATCATTTGGGATTTTAAAAAAAATCTCATTTCTGCCTGCAGCTGGCCAGTGGATTGAATCACTCCCTTTAATATCCAGACCTACCTACTGTGACAATTCATGCAGTTTTGACCCCTGACTTCGATGTTGTGCCTCATACTCGATAACCCCCCACTGGAACTAGCACAAAACACAGCAGTCTTCTTGCTTTAAGCAGCAGATTCAATGTATCACCTCTTGCTTTGCTCTGGGCAGTGGCTCTCCTTGTGCTGGTTTTTCGGGGCAGTGGTGCTGTCATTCTGTTCAAAACCTCTGTCAGGTTTGACCTGGGCTCTCTAAAAGCTAAAGATCTCTTTCTAATCTTGACCTCTGCTGATAGTGGTGTTTGACTGGAGCAATGGCAGCCTGAGAAAATTAGGAAACTTGTGAGGGCTGGAAGAGGTCAGAGGATTTAGGTTTATATTGAAGAATCTCACTGCCTCAAGTTAATCTGGTCAAAGATTTTGGGGTTATGGAGTGTTGGATTTGGTGAGCTTAAGGCCTTTGCCACCTGAAATGATTCTACGATTCTACAACTGTTAAACAGATTCTGTATCAGTACAATCAGACTTTTCTCTAGTCTATAAGAGCAATGATGTAATTTCTGTTTCAAACTGAGCAAGGTAGAGAAAAAATTGGTACCTTTGCCTTGCAGGTATTTAATTATCATGCTGAGAGCTCCAGGATAGCCATTCTTAATGCACTGATTTTAGTTAAGAATGTGTCATTAAGGGGTTTTTCAGTGTTACATTTTGTTGTTATGGTAACCTATGAAACACTTGACTTTTTAGTAAACCCCTTTCCTAAAGATTGTTGCCTCTAAAACAAGCTCTCAGCTTCCTTGGGTTCAAGTAATGTGTGTCTGTAGAAGCAGCTCTTAAGTTACAGAAACAAGATCAAACCATTAAACCTAAGGTCAGTTTGAACTGAATTAGTCTCAACAGGTAATTTTCCCCTTCATTGGAGTATTATACTGAAACACACTTATGGATTTTGCTCTCTGTTGACTTCTGCTATTTAATGACTTCTAAAGCTTATTAAAAAAAAAAAAAAAGGCACCCCAAAACAGACAGCACCACACTTCCCCTCACAAATAAACCAACCCAAAACTTTCAAAAGTTTGTGTTGATTTACTTGACAGAATTTTCTGAAAATAGTTTGGAATTTATGTACCTGGAATAAGCATATTTCTACCTGTGTTTCAGCTAAATGATCAAGTATTTCACTGGAAAGTTGATAGCAGAATTATTTGAGTACTTAATAATTATCTAATATCAGAGATAGAGAATGGGGGGGATGACATACTGGAGTTAGCAGCAAGGCTACATTCTTTATAATTTGTGGATTTTGTTAGTTGCCTTCTGTAATTTCAAATCCATAAACTGCATCAGCTTTTTAATTTGGAACCAACAAACTGCTTTGCTGAAGCCCAGCTGGGAGGTGGTCAGAAGACTTTTATTATTAACTAAGCAATATATATGTATAGCATAAAGAACCTTTCATTTTAAGAATTGCTTAGTAACTGCAGTCCAAGAGGTCTTGAAAATGGAATGGCATGTCTGGACTTGCAGGAGGAAACTATATATATGAGAAGAAAAGAATTAATGTCTTGTGCAAACACAAGAACTTGTGGAAGTGTTGAAGACTGATTTTTAGGTTGTTTTCTGCTATTGAAGAAGCAGGAACCCAAATCTCATTACTCATAAGTCTAAGACACTTCCTTATCCTTTTGAACCCAAAGCTGACATTCAGCATGTTAACAGTTAAACACTGTGGTTTCATGCTTGTTTTCAGAGAAATTTATTGACTTGTTTCTTGGAAATCGCTTTCATTTCAGCTTGGAGATCACTGCTATTAACAGAAATGTATGTGTTGGATCCTTGTCTTGACAGAACAGTAGAAATGTTAAGACAATATTGTATAGATTGGTTGGAACTAGTACAGTGCCCTTTTTTATAAGTGGTCTTAGAGAAAACATCCTTAAATTACATCACTGGGATTTTCTATTTTTCTTCCATAACACCTTCTCAAATAGGGCTGTTAGAGCCCCAGGAACAGTAATGCCTAACCTACTTAAAAAGGCTGTGTGGATGCTTTTCCTCAGGAAGCATTTATAGATCACCTTGTAGATCAAGAAAAGACACATTTTTATCCTTAAGAAACATCCTGTATTGCTTTTAAGTCTCCTATTTCAGTTGAGTCTCTCACTGTCCCAAGGGAAATGCAGTCTCTCTTTTCTGAATTTGCATGAAAATATTTTGAAATGATGGAAAGACCTGGTTAAAGCAATGTTCTTTGAGCTAGTCATAAATACACACACTAATGCAGTGTTAAAAAAATTATTTCCATGAGAGACACTTTATCTAATCTTAATGATAAAGTGGTTAAAGTACTTGAGAGTGTGTGTGTGGTGGTTTTGGCTTTTTCTTTTTTCTTTCCTTTTTCTTTTTTTTTTTTTTAAACTAAGCAACCTACAACACCCCCTTTTCCTCTGAAAGTCATCCTTTGGAACAGATGGAAGAGGGTTACATCCTTCCACAAGTGGGGAGGTATCTAGGCAAGCAATTGGCTTTTTTAAAACATGCAGTTCTCTACAAGATACTTTAAATGGTAAACAGAACATGTGCCTTCGTCGTAACATGTCAGAGACAAAAAGAGGTCTTTATACCCAACCAGTTTGCATGAGTAGAAACATCAGGTTTATTGTCTTTTTGAGTAATAGTTTTGCCTCCCTTTTGAGTGAGCCTGAAAAAAGTGCAAATTTTTCACCTTGTCAGATGTGATGGCACCGTGTTCACATTCAGCTCTCGGAGGCTTGTCTTGACCTCTGCTAAAGGATTCTTCCCTTAAAGAAGCAACTGATAAGCACATCAATGTATTTGCATTCCCCAGTCTTCATCTGGTTCTGAAAATACTATAGTTGTGTGACAGCTTTCTGATTTTAAGCAAGAAATAATAATTTAACTAGAGATTATGTCATCATGGGACCCACATTTGAGAACAAAATTGCTTGCCTGTCTTAGCTTGTTTTTACAAGACTACTCTGTTTATTCTGTGGGCATTTTGGACTTCAGACAGAGGACTCAGTCTTGGAAATAAAAGACTGTGAAGAAGCTACCAAATAATTAACAAAATCAGACAGAGTGGATCTAACCTTTTCTTTTTTTTTTTAAGTTACTCCCAGATATTACTCTGGAGTGATTTTTTTTCTCCTGTGTTGAAACTCCTGAAGAAGTTCTGCTTCTCATTTTCAGTCACTATTGACAATTTCAGAACTACTTGACATCTAAGGGTGTTTTTGTTGAATGACTGTTCCAAGTCTCCTCTTCAGTTGCTCCTATTTCTTGAACAAATATTAGAGTTAGTATCAATACAAATATTATTAGTATCAAAGTTATACTGCAGAGTTGTAGACTTCTTGGACTTTTAGTTATGGATTTTAGTGAATGCAACATAGAGGACAAAGGATTTTTTCATTCTTTTTTACTCTAGTGTTCACAATTTCTCTTCTTTGTTCTCATATTTTATTAAGCATTAGAAGAAGCTGTAGTGTAAAACACTGTGCTCTTTAAACTAGTTTCCCACCAGCCCCAAAGGTTTACTCTGTCTCACATTCAGTTTTATCTCTGTGCATCCATTGTGCCCCCACTGAGCCCTTTTCATCTTTTTATGTGCATGCATAGTTAAATGATATTTTCTTTTATGCATGTGGTTTGAGTAAGAATTCTTACTGTTGGTAAGAGGGAGGACTTTCTTTTTAATTGCAAGGGCTTCAAGATGACTCTTAAGATCTTCTTTGCTGATTTCTGGTGAGAAGTAAGGCTCTAGATCTCTCTTTCGAAGATGAAGTTATCTGTCAGGCTCTGGGAAGTGCATAACAGGGTGCTTATACTGTTACACAAAGGCAACCAAGCTGGATTTTGGTACCTCTTTAAGAAAGATTCTAGACTTCCTGGATGAAGTGAAGAGTTTGCTGTTTTCCCTATTACTTTACCTCACAGACAGCATCTGTCTTCAGAAACAATGTTAAAAAACCTCACAGCAGCCCCTTCCTGTAAGAGAATGTGCAGAGTTCTTTCAGCAAATGTCCTGAACTAAAAAATTCTAATCCCAAATTAATCCTCCTCTTCTGTGAATTAACTGTAACTTTAGGTTTATATTTGCATTAAAAATTAAATACTTACAAATTGTTTTCTGTTACTTCTCTGTTCTTAATCATTAAGAGGATATGGAAGAGTAGCTGGACATTATTCTGACATTAAGTGATTTAAAAAAAACATACACACCCTAACCAACAATCTGTATTTCAAAATTATATTTATGGTACATAAATATCAGCATTATATTGGATCTAAATTTGTATTATAACCAATAAACCAGAAGAAATTAATAAAGTCATGATACTGACAGAAATTTTAAATGTTCTGCTGCCAGTAAATAAAACTGCTACTTACAGGACCTATTTAATTTCTGTATTTTCCCCATTTATCTCATTCTAATGGACTTGGAACTACTGTACGTGAGCAGCATCCTGTCTGGCCTCATGGAATTTCTTCTCACTTCCCTGCTTGGGAGCAGTGTCAGGATGGCTCCTTGGGGAGCTGCTACCAAAGCCTGTGTGTGTAGTTGGGATTTAGCAGTTCATACAGACACATTTCTTTTTTTTTTTTTTTTTCTTTTGGCTGTTCCCGCTGCTCTGGTTGGTACTTTCAGCTACATTTGTGTAGAGAAGGAAGAGTTAACAGTGGGCAGTGAAGGGCTTTGCCAGCCTAGAGGGAGCCAGCAAGCTCCAGCCGTGCCTGGTTCTGCCCCTGTCAGTCCCGTCGGCAGCAGCATCTGTCACGATGCAGGCAGGTAGGGTTAAACCCCGAGCATGCAGGGAGTGAGGAGCAGGGAGCCTGCACTGCAGGGGTTGGAATGTTTGTTCCCGGTTCTTCAATCCTCACCAGCCCTTCAGCTCCAGGAGATCCATACTGGATCCATGGTAACGGGTTTAGCACACTCCACTTCCATCAGCTGGTGACAATGGGCTGTTCTGGTTGCTGACAGAAGAGCTGTCTCCTTTGCTAATCTCTTTTTTAGCTCTGTAGAGTTGCAGTGAGTGGGGACCTAAGTGATGAAATAAATAAATAAATAAATAAATGTTAGAGAACGTGATTTAATGAGGCAGGAATTGCACAGCAGGCTCTTGCATTCATTCCTTTCCCACATGTAGCCAAGCTAGCAGGTAGCTCGGGTGCTGCACATCATTGAGGAGAACTTGTCCTTTTGTTCCTTGGGTTAATTAAACTGAAGCTAATGTAAGAAAATCGGCTGAAATTAAACAACTGCTTGACAAGTTAAGTGGTACCAATTTAGAAATTATACTAAGAAATACATTGTAATTCCTGCTATTTATACCTCTCTTCAGAGCTGATTGTATCAGAGCCAGACTGCAGTGGTGTCCCGACAAGAGTTCCAGATCTTCAGCAAGCTCTTTCAGAGAAATAAAATCTTACTTTCTTCCTTCCCTAAAGACCAGTGAGTTTCTAGTAGCTGTAGTTTATTAGAACCTTCCAGGAGAAAGACCAGTTTGCTCTTGATTAGGAGCCCATGCTGGGAAGATTCTTGTTAGTGCTGAAGGGTAAGATACATCCCTCAGCTGACTGGCACAGGATCAGGCTTCATTCTCAGGTAGTGTCACTAATTGGACAGGTTGAAGACATTTTCCTTTTCAAGATGAATCAGAATTGACTGACTTTTAGCTATATTACAGCAATGTTTTACTTAGCCTGGTGCTTTGATTTTATTCAATGTATGTGTTTAAACAAGCCAGCATCCTAACCTGAAACAAAAAACCCCAAGCCCCCCAATCTCAAATGCCCAAGCTAAAGCCCAGTTTGATGAGTGTGGGAGACGTTGTGCCTGCAGAGTGGTAGCCATGTTGGTGGCTCAAGGGTTAATCTCTTGTTGCTGTAATACGCTTTGAGAGCAGCAGCTCAGTCTGCTTGTGTTAGCAAGATTAAAAGCAGGAGCTGCAGTGCCATTGCAAGCACTGAATGAGTGGGACTGTTGCAGAGTGAACTGTAGCTGAATTTTGTCTTTTCTTCTTGCTTTTTTTTTCCACCAGCTCCTCCCCCCTTCGTTCCTACTCTCAAGTCTGATGATGACACCTCAAATTTTGATGAACCAGAGAAGAATTCGCGGGTTTTATCCTCTACGCGCCAGTTGAGCCCAGCAGGATTCTCGGGGGAAGATTTACCGTTTGTGGGGTTTTCATTCATCAAGGCATTGGGGATCCTCAGACCAGAGTAAGTAGGAATTATTGCTTAGGTGGATAGGACTGCTGGAAAATGGGCAGGTTTGTTACAGTGAGGATGGTGTGTGTGGGGAAAAGCTGTTTTAACTGACCTGTACTCTGCTGTAGGGAAGCTGCCAGATTCGGGCTTGATCTGTTGCTGCTGTGCCTTGTGCATGTCCTACCATTCTCTGATTATTTCTGGGATGAAGGGGAGGAAATGGGATGGAAAGATTGATTCTAAAGCAGTTATTGTTGAAATTGTTGCTGAAATACTCTGAATTAGTTGTTGCTGTTAAGCAGGGAGCAGCAGATGATTGCATTTCTGGTACTGCAGATCCCTGCAAGAGGGAGAATACTGAGTTCAGAGATGGAAAAGGGGGGTGGTGTTATTTTATTGGGTCAGAGAGTGGGCACCAAGTGCTGGGATGTGTAAGACTAAATCAGTGATCCACAGAAATGGAGCTCCACTAACCTGGGAATGTGCAGCAATGGGTCAGTGAACAAGAGAAGGAGCTGATGGCAGCTGGCTGTGTGCTGCTGGGTCAAAAATAGGAGGACTGGGCATTGCTGTACTGTGTTAGGAGACTGGAGACTCAGGTGAAATATGCAGTGTGTGTGTGTGTGTTTGTAGGGATGTGAAGATCTAGAAGAAATGGTTTTCCATGGAAAGAAAACATGCTTTCCGAGGGAATGGAGTCAGAGAAAAAGAAGAATATAAGTAATGTGTTATAAACCATCTGATGTGGTGGGTGGTTAGTTTCTGATGACAGAGCTATTGAAAAAGTATTAGTGCAGTGCATTAAGTTGGGAAGTCCTTACCTTGGGATCTGGAGGCCTCTCAGGAACGCAGTGGCTTTAGCTGTGTTAGTGATTCAGTGCACTGAGGTGCTGTGTTTTCGTGTCAACCATCGTTCACTCCTGCTAGTTAGTTCCCTTCAGGGACTTGGTTGTCAATCTGTCTTAATCAAGTTTCATTTTTTGTCATACTCGTTGTGATAGTTGCTCTGCAGTAAACGTGTCACCAAATCTGGTGATACTGTTGACATCTTTGATCTTGCCCACGCCGTGAATCAAGGTTATATGATGGTTATGCCAGTAATAAGAAGGGAATCTTTGGCTGTCCCTCCTCAGCAGAGTTGCTCTTATGGGAAAAAGGAGACAACATAAAAACCCAAAAAGTGTTCTTTTGGTGAAATGATCTAATATTGTCAGCAGAATTAGAAAAAGGGACTGTTAGATCTGTAGATACCTGGGGTTAAAAATCTGTCTTAATTCAGGAGTGATGAGTTTAACTTAGAGTATTATCTTTTCTGCCTGGGGAACTGCAATCCACGTACCAAACCAAGGCTAAATGACCATTCAGGGGACAGAAGAACCTCAATAGTGACCACATATGTGTGGTAAAAATCTCTATGTGATCGGGCCCAGGACTAGAACTGGAGTGTGAGGTGAAGTCTCAGAACAGTGGTGTAACTGTGCTGGAGGCTGAGACAGCTGTAGCAGATGGATTGATGTGCTTCTTTTTTGGAGATGGTACTGAAAATGCATATGGAAGTTATATTAGAATTTTGATAATAGGAAGAGGTATAGCAAAAGAATATAGGGATTAATGTCCTCTGGGGAAATTTTGACTGAAGTAAAATTTCTGTTTTGTGTGGCCTGCTTTTTCCCTGTACTGGAACAGAAAGACATCATATTTTCCCCCAAATAATTTTAATTTAGATAGGTCTTATTGGCTTCTTTTTTTGAATGAGATCTTGATAAATGCACTTTGTTATTTTTAGCAGTTAATATTTGCATTTTGTTCTAAGAAGGTGATTTAAATATGGCAAAGAGCTTGCGGAGACTTGAAAATATATCTGTATTTAAATAATGCAGTGATTAGTTTATTCTCAATATCACTGCAGTTGGGTTCTAAAGATAACTTCTTACTTATAAAATGTTGTCTAGTGTGTGTTTTACTTGAGGAAATACAGTAAGTACTGTTTCTGTCCACACCAGCTTGAACATCAAATTCTAGATGCAGAACAGTAAATGGAGGGGGGGAGGCTTATCTCTTGTGAATCTCGGGACGTCTTCTCTGGAAGGTCCTAAGTCATGAAGTTGATCAGTCCAGAATTTTTCTTCTTGAAATCTTTCCTCTGAAAGTCCAACCTTATGGTTGCTAAGTGATGCAGATCTGTTTTCCTGTCTGCAGCACGAACCCTCCAGTGCTGCTCACAGTGAGCCCAGGCAGCTGCAGGGTGCCAGTAACAAGGTCCTTGAAACTTTCATGGCTTTTAATTTGAGGGCTGTCAAGCCACGAAGTTTAGGGTTATGCTCTTGCCCTTGTTCACTGGACAGTAAGAAGGTATGGCTGAGCTAGGAATTTCAAATACTTCAGTAAAAAGAAAAGGAAGGTAAAAGAACTTCTCTTTTCCATTCTTCTCTTTCTCCCAATGGCTTAGTGCTAGAAGGGTTCACCTGAGTCACTTAGACCTGTTGCCAGGAATTACATAGTTGGTGTGTAGCTTAGAAGGGTTCATTGAATTGCAGTGTTGCCCCATACCATGAGATTTGGGATGAATTTGTGACCCTCTAACAACTGTGAAATTTAACAAAAGAGCAAAAGTCATGACATCAATGTATCGTAGGAAGCAATCAGGAGAAATCAAAGGCTTAATTGCTGATGCCATGGGTTCCTGTCCTAGCAATCTGCTGGATGATTCTAAGAGCTGGGTTGAGGCTGCAGAGAAGGACCAGCTGAGTCCTTCTCCCATCATGGCCTCTGAATTCCTGATATGGGGGAGAAGAGCCTGTCTGACTGCAAGCCTGGCTGGAGCGTGTGACTGTGACAAGATAAGAGGCAACTGAGGGTTTAATTCCATTAAAAGCCAGCCCCACCTTCCTGTCCCTAACCATGGCTGATCTCCAGTGCTTAGAACAAGTGACAAAAACCCTTGGGTGCCAAAAATATGCATCAAGTGGTGAAGGAAAATCGGTCTTGTCCTTTGCAGGTGACTAGCAGAAGCCTGAAGGCATAAGATAAATATGTTATAAATCCAGGGTTAACCAAATATACCAAATTGCCTAATAAAAATAAATACCTAATAAAAATAAATGCCTAGTAAAAATCAATACCAAATAAAATGTACCAAAATACCTAATGAAAAATACCTAATTAAAAAATAATTTATAATGCAAATTTTTGCCTGCCCATGTCCTCTCTGCAAGGTCCTAAGAAGTGGTATTTTCTGGGGGTTTGTTTTTTGGTTTTTTGGGTTACTGGGATTGTGTTTGGGTTTTTTTTTTTAAATTTAAAAATTTGATATTGATTCATGACTGTCATTATAAAATACTGAGATTTAAAATGGGCCATTCTTCCAAAAAGAAGGACTACTGATTTCTTCCAACAGTTTGTCGGTTCTGGTGAGCTCTTTCACCAAAGATAGATTAAAGAGGAAGCACAGGATGAGCATACCAAAAATATGCTTTGCTTCAGCAAGCTCTATTCACAGATTGATGGTATCACTGTTTGTTTTTGGTTGGTTTTTTTTTAGGCCTGAGCAAGCATTTAGGAGGGGGCGGAAGGTACAGATGAGTATAATGCTAAAAGGAATAGAGCATGAGGGATGGGGGATGAGATTATGGGCATGTTGTGTGGGGGCCAGGATTAGGACAGATGGTGCCAATCATTGTGAGAAGGAAGCAGCACAGGTGAGTTGGGGGTTTATGAGAGTGGCCCAAAAGGACACGGGAAGTTCCGAGGTGTGATGTGATGCACGGGGGGGACCAGGGGACGTGTTTGATACCCCAGAGTCATCCTGGAGCTTTTCCTCTGCTAACGCTTTTTTCTTTTTCATCTCAGCCAAGTTGGAACTGGAGGAGCTTTTACACAACCAGCACCATTTCTGATCATTCTGCTGGTTGAGGCTGCTGCTGATCTAGCTGTGAAATCACTAGTCAGCTGTAAGTTAACTTGGTTTTTAGTCATGCAGGCAGTGCTTATTTGGAAAGTAAATTGGCACAGCCCCAGTGCTATCAGAGCTTGGTACTACAGACTTGACTTTGGGGTTTTTTAAAATTTTTTTTATTGCAATTTTCTTGTTGATGGATGCTGGTTACCTTTTGTTAATCTATTTTTTCACACTTCAGAGGAAACAGCAGAAACTGCTGTCATGCTAAGAGAATTGATCCAGATGTAGCAGTTAATTAAATGAGATACTGTAGGATGGTCTCAGCCTGAATGATAGCTTTGCATCATGGCTTTTGATGTTGGATTGTATGTGTTTAATTTTTGCAATGATGCTGACTGAGGAAGAATGTAAGTGCCCCAGAAATGTGGGTATTTTCCACCTTGTCATGCTCTGTTGAGAGCTTCTATCACCATGACAAGGCTTATTAGATTAGCCAGTATTCCATTTCTCTTGATTTCCTCTGTCTGCCCCTTTCTGATACTTTGAAGATTGTATGGATGTTCAGGAAGTTGTTCTAATACAATTTGTACACAGGAGAGAATTACTGGGAAAGCAAGTCTGTTAAAAGCTGCGTGTCCAGTGCTAACCAAAATCGGTTTCCTTGGGGATAAGATGTTCTGTTTCCATGGCAGGAAAATTGTCGTGTCACCGAGACATATATTTTTAAGGAATTTCATCCTCGCTTTGGACAGGAATGAGGAAGAAAGATTGCAGTTCTAGTTTGTAGCCTCCTCTTCGCTTACAAAGCCAACACACCAACCCTGAGGAGCAGCTCCCTCTGCAGTCACCTCGTGAAATGCAAACTTCGGTCGGTCTCCTGCTCTCTGTCCCAGCCCATCCCACCTGGCTGAACCACCTGTCCTTGCAGAGCTCTGCATCTCCTTCCCCGAATCCATCCTGTTCCTGCCTGGTTTGCAGTGCATATGGATGCTTTAAGCTGGCTTACTAGGAGAAATTTTTGAAAAGCAAAATGGTGCCTGTAAGATTAGGCTCTGATTCTTTTGATAGCAAATAAAATAAATGAGCAAAAATAACAAATAAAAAATCAGCTCCTTTAGGGAGGTGGAATAGAAGCCACAAGTAAAATCAGGTTTGTGAGAACTGGCTGGAGTTTTCTTAGGTAATGCCTCAGGTTTGAAAAGGTGATGGCTAAGGCTGAAACTATAATTGAAAAAAAGATTGCTTCAGCCCGTACAGTTCAGACCTGTAAAAATACATTTTTATTATAAGAAGATTCTCAGACTTGTCTCAGTACATATTTGCAGCTATTTACATATATTTGATTAACATTTGAAAGCAGATTCCTTAGTGTCTTTTTTAGTTAATGTGAGCTTTAATTTGTATTTTTAGACCGCTTTTCTCAACTATTCATTTTTAGCCTTGTTTGTACACCCAGCTGTTATGGAATTTAATATGCATCTTTCTCAGATGGTTGCCTTTTCTCTGTAGGAGTATAGACACGCTTTATAAATTGATTTTTAAATATGGTAATTTGACGGATTGGATTGATTGGACCAGGACTAAAGGAATGCTGTATAAAAGCATTAATTTTAAACATTTTTTTTTTTTTTGTAAGTCCTGATCATATCTGTATCATTGACATGCAGGATTCTTTCTTCTAAGTTTTTCCATATCAGGTTTCTGAAGAGGTGTTAATATTTGACCTCTCAGGGCAGCACTGGTGGATTTTGTTGTGTTTGTTTGCTGAAAACAGTGTTTCCTAATGACAGCTTGAGGTGGTGGTGCTGACGATCTGTTTGATACAGAGGTGTTGCTGCAGCATTTTCATCAAAATCCCCGTGTCTCTCCCTGTGCCTGTGTTGCATATCTAGTTGGATTAAGGAGTAGGTTTTTCTCAGAAAATGGTGGTGATGGAACGAAACTTTCCTTGGTGTTAAGAGGAGCCTGTGCTGCTGTGTGTGGGTGTGTGGCTATATGCAGAGAGCTGCTCAAAGCTCCTTTCTCTCCGTGGGGATAGCTGGCTGCACACCAAACTGTGGCCAGGAGAAGCAGAAAGCAATGTGTGGGCAGCCCGTGTGATCTTTTATTAGCACCTTCATTGTGCTCCTGTGTTTTGATCTATCAGTTAACACCGGTTCCATCACTAACTGCTCAAATATCTAGTTTGAATCATTTCATGCGAGGGAGAATGTGATTTTTAAAATTATGTTTTGATGCGTGTACTTAATTTTTTGGTTGCAGATTGCATATTTAAGGCTGCAAAGCACTAAAAATATGCTGCCAAACATCAGGTGGCTTCCTATCATTTTCTAGAAGGAATTTAGACTAACAGAAACGGTAACTTCTTAAATGCTGAGTCCCAATTAGACAGAAAGCTTAAGAACAAGTAAATATTTCCCCCAGGTTTCTGGAGTCAAATTGTTTTGAACAGTACAGTTAAGTTGTGTCTCATGAAAAAGAATTACTTCTAAGTGGAACTCTGAAGTTCTGCAGTGTGACTAATCATATTGATATTGATTGAGTTTGTAGGGATCGTATGAATTGGGTTAGGAAAGTTTCAATTTTGATTCACAGAATGTAACTAAGGATATTAAACTCTTCTTCCTGTGGTGCAGATTATGAAATGTTGAAGTTTTTAGGGCTTTTATAGTTCGATGATAATTTAAAAACCTGTTTAAAAATAAAGTACCAAATAAAAAGCACTTCTCCGGAAATTTGTTGTCTTTCCAAAGGTTACTTTGGCTTTATGCTTTGGTTTTGTTGCACTTATAAATCCCTACAAATTATGCAATGCTGCTGCTGTGATTTATTGTTTTGCACTGTGACATATCCACTGATGGAAAATATTAATATTGTAAACAGAAGTACACATGGATTATTTAATAATGATATACTGTCATCAGCTTTTATGGTATGTTTGATCTGAAATGATGGCTGTTAGACTGGAATTGCTGCACCTTTCTTTTATCCCGGGATAAGTAAGTACACAATGACTTTACAGAGGCTGCATGAATCAGATTTCTGTTACCTTTTGCCAATATTCATGTGCTGTTTGGCTTTGCTCTTTTAGATCTGTTTTTTCAAGTGTGGATTCTCCAGCCAAGGTCAGCTCCATGGAAAAGACACTTCTTCTCAAGAGCAAAGAGCTCCAAGACGCCCAGGACAAGTGTCACAAGGTATTTATTTATGCGATTGGCCATCTCCATTGCTCCAGGAATCTGCAACCACTGTATGTCCAGGGATCTGTCAGATGCTGCTGATCATCCAGACTCGTGGTGGGCAAAGTGCTTTTCCTTCAGAGAGGTGGCTTCCTGTCCAGTACAAAGGGAGATGAATTTAGGCCATGCTGTTGCTCTAGATACTTTTATCTTAACAAGAAGCGGCTCTGGATTTTAAACTGTCCTTTTCCCAGCGTTGACACAGACGACTGCTGCTTCCTGCAGGCCCTGCCTCTTCATCCCAGCAGTTACCCCAGTACTGTTCTGAGGGGCTCTTCCTCACTCATCAGCTCCTGCTCATATAACTGTTGTCACGTCACTGCTTATGGTGAACGTCTCATAACAGTTGCTGTGCTCCAATAAAGGGAACCTGGTGGAGTCTTTTAACACTTACTGCTTGTTTGAGACTTTTATGAGAGTTCCATTACTTTTCTCCCTGCTCTGTTCTGGATTTGACCATTTGCTCCTGACAAGGAGATGGGGGGAAACCATCTTCTGGTCCAGCATGGATTTGGGATAAGGTTAAAGTGACCCATCTCTGCAAGTCAGGTGAAAAATGATTGTGTCTTCTTTGCTAACTGGGGTTCGAAGAATGACTGAATATGAACAAGCAGCTTGAATGAATGGGGTGACTTAGACTTACTACTTGTCCTTAAGAAGAACTGTGCATTCCTGGAGCAGAGACAATGGTATCGGAATTTAAACACCATTTGGAGAAACATAGCTTAGAAGTCTCTTGGAGACAAATTCCTTACAAACAGAGCTCTGAATGTAGCAGTTAACAAAGCTTGTGAAGCCCCCCTTTATAACCTCTTGATATTTATTGCAGATGGAGCAGGAAATGACGCGGTTGCACCGGAGAGTGTCAGAGGTGGAGGCTGTTCTTAGCCAAAAGGAGGTGGAACTGAAAGCCTCTGAGACCCAGCGATCCCTCCTGGAGCAGGACCTGGCCACCTATATCACAGAATGCAGTGTGAGCCCTTACCCCAGTCCTTCCAGAGCTGAAGGCCTGAAATTTGGTGGTCTTTGTCTTTCTCTTCCATCGTGCTTTCAGTGGGGTACTTGATGGAGAGAAAATAATGTGTGAGGGGATATCTGTTGAACATGGAGCCCTGAATTGTTTGCAAAAGCTTGCTTGATAGTTTTATTCGAGCGTTGTTTCATGGTCATGTGCCTAGATCATGCAGAAGTGACTACTGTCCTGGTCTTGCTGAAACTATTTGTGATGTTTGTCTTACTGGCTGTGCTAGAACATGCTTGGGTTTGACTTCTTGCAGGTTTCTTAGCCAGAAGAGGAAGGGGCCTAATCAGTGCCTAGACAGAAGTCTTCAGGAACAAATAGGATTAGGAAGCAATGGTGTTGCCTCCATCTGTGGTGTCCTGAGTTCAGACTGATCCAGTTCCCCAGCACAGTGTCAGGGAAGGTTGTAGGACAGGGGCTATTTTTCAGGTAGAATATAAAAATGAGACTGCAAAACCATGCCTTCAAAGATCCTTTGGCGTTTTTCATGGGAGCTGGAATGTCTGCCCAGTTGTCCTGGCAAGATTCCAGTGAGGATATTTTCATTCTAGTCGATAGTCTCTGTATTTTCAGTTGGATATACAATTATGTTTCCTCTCTTGTACCAAGAACAGAAGTGCAGATAATACTCTCTTTCAGAGAATTGAAAACCATTTCTGATGGGTTGGTTTGTTGGGAAGCACATCTTAAAATGGGGCTGAGTTTTACCATACCAAATGCTACTAGGTAAATAAATAAAATTCAGTTTATATCTCTCTTTTGAAGAATAATACTCAGTTGATAGGAGGACCACTGGTAGGTCCAAATTGCAGGTAAGGTGTGTGGTGAGATACATACTCAGCTCTTCTATTCTTTGTAGAAGTTTAACAATGATTAAAGCATTTGACTCACTTAACAGCAACAAGAAAAATGTAAGTAACATGAAGTTGAAGGATTGTGTCTAGGTTGTGAATTAATAGTGCTGGATAAAATATAGATAAATGCTGTCAATAATGGATGCCTTTTGTGATCTGTGTTTGGTTTTTGTCTCTAAACCTGATGTGAGGAAGTAGATATTTGAACCAAGATTTGAGTAAACAATGTTTGTAAAAATGGGCTGCTTCTGTTCAGATAGGAGCAGCACTGGCCATGAATTTCATTAGAGTTCCATCACTGGTGCCTCAATTTTTCTTTTTTAAATTTTTTTGTTTTTATTATTATTATTTTGATGCCTCACTGCAGTCGAGGAGGCATTTGTGTGACTAAAGATCTTCGTTATACAACCATTTGAAAAACCAAAGACTGTGTATTGAACATTTTGCTTTCTGCAGAGCTTAAAGCGAAGCCTGGAGCAGGCACGGATGGAGGTGTCTCAGGAAGATGATAAGGCACTGCAGCTACTTCATGATATCAGAGAGCAAAGCCGAAAACTGCAAGAGATCAAAGAACAGGTATTCCTGCTTCTTTGGGGAGCAGGGTGGCTGGCCACAAACAGGCATTCTTGGCATATTCTAGCTCTGGTGCCAGGATGACATTTGATGTTGGTAGGCTGTGATAACTCCCAATCTGTGTGTTTTCACATGGGTTCCTAAACAATACAGGAAGCAACAAAATTCCACTTGTGTATTTTGCGAGTGAGCACAGACTCCAAACTTCAGGTTTTTCTTTTCCTAGTCCTGAGAGGACTTTGTCTATAAAACCAGCTTAGGAGAAAGTTGCAATGCTTTACTAATATACTGCATTAGAAATGAACTATCCATTTAAAATGGTTAAGGTGTGCAAATTTCACAACAAGTTAATGAATCTTCACCTGGGAGAGAACTGAGCCAGCCTTTATTTTGTGGTGGTTTTTTTTCTTCTTTCTTATCTGACCATTTAAAATGCTTAATAGTCTTTCAAAATAGAATGTGTGTTGCCTAACTCTTCTTTTCCTAATTTAATCTATTTGCGAAGGAGAAATTAATAATTTTTTTGTTCTCTAGAAGAATGTTCAAAATTCATTAATCCATATGGTTGTTCATAAGGAAAAAAAAAAAGTCAAAATTAAATGAAAATATGCCCATATTTGGACATTTTTAGGATTTAAAATTATTTACAAGACAAAACTCATTCATTTTTATGAATTAACAGCAACATACTGCATTGAGAAAAAGAAATTGAAATTTGCTGTAACATTCAAATAATTCTTTGCAACTATCTGTTGGTTTTCATCTTCAAAGCACTTTACAAATGGTAACTGACTCATTTCAAAGCGTTTGAGACAAGGAAGCCCAGAAACCTTGGTAATAATTCTCCAGACATAAGAAGCTCTTATGTAAAAAGTAATGAAATGCAAACTCAACCCTCTGGATGTATCAGGCCTCCATAGACTTCTCCTGCATTCTTCTGGGTGGTTGTTTTATGTAATACAAGGGATCTAAAGCTCCCTGCTCTCTGTTCTGGTGCTTTGCTTGAAAAGTTGCTTTAAATACTGAAATGTGGAACATTTTTGATGGTTATAAATACCCATAGATTCTTAGGCAGTACAGACACATGTAACAGAGGAAACATAATGCAAGTAATTTTTAATCAAATGCTTTGTCCCAGAATCTCTTAATTTGGCTTGTGAAGATTCACAATGACATAAAAATGTTGCTTAGGTCAACAAATGAATCTGTAATATCCTGCAGGCTTTCATATCTGAAGTGATCTTCTGAGCTTTCTGAAAGACAAGAGCAACAAAAAATGCTGAGATATTTGTGCTGACTCATACGAGCAGGTGGATCTTGGCCATTAACTTGGACCATGATTTTTAAGTCAGAGGGAACTGGGAGATGAGATGGAATAGTCCCTTTAGAGTTTTCCTGTTGAAAACCTGAAACCCGAGAGAGAACAAGTCAAATCAACAGCAAATCAGAACCTTCAAAAGTTAATACTTAGGCACATGGTATTTTCAGGGCAAGGCTGTAGGTTCAACTTGACCTCAGGTACTTGAATAGAAGAGTGTGGTGGATTTGTGGGGTCTTTTGTTTGTTTGGGGTATGTGTTTGGTTTTTGTTTTGTTTTGTTTTTTTTGTTTTAACTAAACCTGTGCTCTGGCCGTTACTTGATGAAGATCTGTACGAGCAGATGTACTTGCAACAGCTCAGAATCTGTATTTTTTGAGAGCCCCACTCATTTGTATGTAATTCCCTGATGTGATTTGCTTCAGGTACATGCCCTGAGCTTTGCCTGTCCACTAATATGCACTTAAGTACCTCTTGGTAGTTCTTAAACTCTGACCAGTGAATATCTGAGAGGTTTGTTCTGTGTTGCCTGGAGTGGTGTGGCCTGTTCCTCTGACCTGATCATGAGACTTATTCAAAGATAATCTTTCAAATGTGTTGAAACAAGAAAACCTGAAATATCACTAACTATCTCTTCTTCTTCCTTCTTTTCTCCTCCCCCATTCTCCTCCCTTCCCAAACACTCATTGTCACAGTGGCAACTGTAGTCATACTTGTAATTCTTTGGTCAAGTGCTTACTGATATAAAACCCCAGTATTTTAGGAAGTCTTAACAAATTATACTTTCTGAGCAGGACATATATTCCTTCAAACAGTTCTGCCTTTTTTATTCACAAATTTATTTGTATGCAAAGAATGTTTGAGTTAATATATGCTTAGTTATTATCAAAAGGCTCCAATTCTTTCCAGTAAGAAAATAAGGTCATCCACAGGAGGCTAACTGGAAAGAGTAGGTCCCTGTCTTCCTTACAAAATGGAGAACCAATTTTGGGATTACAAAGCAAAGAGCCATTCTGCCAAAGGGATAGGAAAGCAATCTGTTAAAGGCCCAGCTTCTTTAAATATCTGCATAAACTCTCCTTGCTGGAGAGTCAGGGGCTGCCCCTGGGGTCAGTGTTCCTGCAGTCCCTTTGTAGCTGAAGGCAGTGCCTGTCTGGGGGAGCGATGACAAACCTGAGTCTGTCACGAGACAGTTCCTCTCCTGCATATGGGGGTAGTCAGGCGTATTGTAAGGTATTAAAATGGAAAGAAAGAGAGACTCCCCCACTGTCAGTCCTTCATAATCTTTGTTCCTAGCTCTTGATGTGCTTGTTTTCTACTTGTTCTCAGCTTCATAAAAAATACTTTGGTTTTTTAGGTTTTTTTTGTCCTTTGCTTTAGAGTAATTTTATGAAATATATACTTACAGGACTTAGTAAATGCTAAATAAACAAGATTAAAATCTTTTTTATCCAGTGAATATGTGAGAAGCAATCTCTTGAGCTAGTCTCAGTTTGAGTTCCCAGTGTCATTGAGATAGTCAATTCAAATTCTTTTCTTCTCCCATCTTCCCCATCCAAATGCCCTATCTTGTAGTCTCCTGCAAGGGGAATCTTTATTTCTACCTATATAGAAAAATATCTTCTATAGGCAATGTGATTTATAGATAGTTTTTCCAAGATAATATTTGATTTTAGGTTGTCTCCCATGCAGAGCAGTGTGATCCTTTTTAACTCTGTCAAGAGAAAATAGCTGATGGCACAGTGTGCTACCCCTCTGCTTCTCCTTCTTTCCGTTTACCCAAGCTGTGCAGATCTGTGATAACTGTCATGTTATCAGCCTGAGAAAATAGATCTTGAGGCAGCATCTGGGCATTTAGTAGAGACATCAACTCAAAGGCACATTTCTGTTTCAGAACTTAGAAATGTAAGTAATTTTTATCATTTGTATGTAGATGTATCTATGTGTTCCTGCACTCTTAAAAAAGTCAATGTTTTGACTTTACGAGGTATTGAGTTGAAAATGGCAAGACTCAAACCAGAACACCATTGATGTTATTTTGTTTAGTTTTTACTGTTTTATTTTGTACTTTACCTTTCTTCCACATCCTCTTAAACTCATCTCTTGCCTGTAATCAATATTCTGGGATCTGCTGCTCCAAGCGTTTCCCCTCTTGCCTCTAAAACGTAATACCTTCTCCTCCCCTTCCACCTCAACTACAGGAATATCAAGCTCAAGTTGAAGAAATGAGGTTGATGATGAATCAGTTGGAAGAGGATCTGATTTCAGCTCGCAGGCGCAGTGACCTCTACGAGTCAGAGTTGAGAGAGTCCCGACTGGCAGCTGAAGAATTCAAACGTAAAGCTGCCGAATGTCACAACAAATTGCAAAAGGTAGTTTAGGCTTCGTGGGAGACCCAGGGCTGATGCTTTACTTGAATTCCTAGTGCTGTTTGACACACTCACATGAGTTGGGGGGGGGTATCCTTCAAAGATTAGTGTGGTTTGTACCACTAATGCAAAATGTTTTCCAGTTGTGCCCTCAAAGTAGCGTGACTTCAACTTTGTGTAACTCCTAGTGTTCAAATACCACGACTGGATAGAAGCACAATGTACTACAGCTTTTCCTGAGATTTTGATGTATTTTATACTTAAGTTACAGGTTAAAGATCAAGGAAAAAATGAAGCAGGAGAGTTGTATTGCAAATTGGAGAAGGTATGTTCACTTCAGTGTCCTGAAGTTTGCTTGCTGGGTCTTTCATATTATGCACAGAAACCAAGCGTACCTTTGGCTAGTCTGTGACATGCATGGCCTCTCAACCCTCCCTATTTCATTTCATTTCGTTTTTTAAAATGTCTTTGTCTTGGTGTGATTCACTGTTCTTTCTGATTTGATATAAAGCTGGCTCTGGATAACCTGTTCCTAATGGATTGTGTTCAGAAGCCAGGCAAAGACAGGCCTTTATGTGTCATCCTAGTTAGGAGTGAAATTGGGGATGCATAAGGGCTTTCTTTATTCATAAAGAACAGCAAATGAAAACCTAATAGAATTCTGCATATTCTCACACTGAACAATCTATTTGGTGACCAAAATTTGACATCAGGCAGAAGTTAGCAAAGTGGGAATAGATTGGCCAAGGAGCATTTTGATGTGTTGGAATTTATAGGGAGAAACAAAGGTTTTTGGGAAGTGAATTAAAATAAATACAGTATCATCAGCAGAGAGCATTTTTTCCTTTTTGGTTTTATGACTGTTTCCCTCCATCTTTTTATTTAACTGCAGATCAATACAGAGCAGCAGGCCAAAATCCAAGAGCTGCAGGAAAAGCTGACAAAGGTAACATCTGGGTGGTGAAAGTGAATTTTCCACGAGACTTTCCAGTGAAACCTTAATGGAGAGGAGGGATGCACTTTGTTTTACCCTCAAAAATAGAATTAGTCATAGCATGGGGGATGATAAGGAAAGAGGGGTGGGAACTGGTATCTGAAGTCACTGGTGTTTTCAATATGCTTTTGGCTCTTGAGACATGTCAACAGTGTTTATTTTTACAAATGAAGCTGAGTCAGAACTGGAGTAGTGTAGAGAAATTCTCATTTAATGGGTATACCATGGGCAATGCACTGCTCCCTTGCTTCTGAAGACAGAGTTCAACTGGTTTTAGCTCACTATTAAAATACATGTTAGACTTGGTTTAATTGCTTTAATTGCAAAGTCACTTAAGAGTTCAGTTATTCACAGTAAAAGTATTGAACAATAAGGATTCACAGCAGAATTTTAAAACACCTTAACAATGTATGCTGCATAATATCTAATGTTTGCTGTCATGGTCAGTCATCACTGTAAGAACAGTCTTATTGGAATCTTTCAACAGAAGAGAAAGGGGTTGTCATAATAATCCCCTGAGCAAGCTTTTCACACTTGGCACCTCCTGAGAGGGGCTTTTTTCAAGGGTTATTATTCATGGAGGCCAAAACTATATAGAAATAGTACTTGTAATATTTCAAAACAATCATGTTTTATCCCATCTTCTTCTCTCCCTGCATTGATACTAAGGAATTATCTTTAGGCTGACAGGTTATTCTCCTGATCTTTTAGTAAGATTATTTTGTGAGTTCTTTCCAAGAACTTGAGCTGAACTGGGTAGTAGACTTTACTGTCAAGACACAGAGTCAAGTAGAAACTTGCAGTATAGCAAGTTTCTGTATAGTAGAAAGTATAGCAAGTCTTCAATGAGACAAACCTGTGCATCTCCTGGATTTTAATTTTTTGGTTTTTTTGTGAAACAGAAGTTAGAATTATGTAATTGAAGTTAGAATTTGGGTTCCCACACATGTTTGTGTTTGTCTTAATTTAGACAGTTAGGCCAAAGTTCTGTAGTGGATTTATTCAGAATGTTGACCACCTTGAGGTTATGAAGCTTTCACACACCAAATTTTTTGTGTGTGCTTTTCATATAATACCTTTTCTTTTCTTTTCTTTTGACCTTCAGGCTGTGAAAGCCAGCTCAGAGGCAACTGAGCTTCTGCAGAATATCCGTCAAGCAAAGGAGAGAGCTGAGAAGGAGTTGGAGAAACTGCAGAACAGGGAAGATTCTAATGAAAGCATGAAGAAGAAATTACTCGAAGCGGAGGTGAGTGGAGAATGTCTATCTAAAGAAAATTAGTTATTGGGATGTGCATCAATTTAGGAACCCTCATCTGGATGACTCTGAACAATGCGTATTCCTGTAGTAACTCTTCAGGGGAAAGTGTCAGACATGAATCCATTTTTAATTAAAAAAGATACATTTCTTTGAAAAAAACTGAGAGATTTTTTTATTTTGAGTGAGGAGTCAATAAGGACATGTGGTTACCTAAGGGATTTGAGGCATGATGAGGATTTAAAATACAGAAGCCAACCATGTACACTGACTGCTTCAGCCGAATTTTTTCTAGAAACTGCTCCTTGCTTTGTGCTAGTGCAGAGTTGAATAGCCTAAATGGCAGCTCATAATTGCTCTACAGGAACGGCGCCATTCTCTGGAGAATCAAGTGAAGAGATTAGAGACCGTGGAACGACGAGAAAACCGCCTGAAGGAAGATATTCAAACTAAATCTCAACAGATTCAACAGATGGCAGAGAAAATTCTGGTGAGCAGAGGTGAAAATGAAACTTCGAGCGTGAGAGTTTGTAAGAAAGGGGTAGGAAAGAATCAGAAGCCATAGAATTGCATTGAATAAGGTGGAAATCGTTGAATAAAGGGATTTCTTTCTTGTATCAGTCATCCTGGAGAAAGCTTAAGCACTCAAACTCTCCTTGCACCTGTAGTTACAAACTCACTCCTGTACTTTTAGTCTTAATACTTCTTCAAAATTGTAGTTGCCTCAGGGAGAGCACTCTTAAGTCAACATAGTAATATTTAAATTATTTTACCTATTGATTGTTTCAGAAGTAAAATATTCTCAGGACAGGATACTGCAACAACAAAACCATTAATATCTATCTTTTAAACTAAATTGTAGAGGAATTTAGAGGTCAGATCTATTTGAAATGCTTATGTTTTGAAGCAGAGAGAAATTAGTCATCTAAACTATTCATCTCCAAAGATAATATTTGTCAGGAAACCGTTTTCACCCACATGTTTCTCTGTTGGCAATTTATTGTTTCTCTCCTGCTTAAACCTATTAAATCTTTATAGTAAGTTAGTATGTCAGTCTCCAGTGAACCAAGCAGAGGGTGTTTCTAATACTTTTGCTTCCCTGGGACAGGAAGCATAATTTTATAGTGGAATAATTAAATTTACTTTGTGTTCCTCATGAGCTCTCTTTGTGTATTACCAATATGACGAGGAAAAAAAGGGTGACATTTCATTGGTAGTAATCCTGAGCAGAGACACACATGAGGAAGGCCAAATGGAAATGTATAAATAAGCATATTTAGAGTCAACAGATGACCCAGGCTTGTTCTGGGGATGTAGACTTTAACACCAGAATGCCTGACTGCTGTCAGAAAAAGGTAGAATGGGTTCTTTAGTAGTGCTGTTCCTTTCAAATTGTTTTGGTAGCACGAGTGCATGGTAAGTGGGAGACTATGCTGGGCACAGAGCCAATTTTATGTTTAGAAATAGTGTAAAACTTTGAATTGTTTCATAAGCCTCCTGTGTATATTTGGGAATTGTTCCTTGGTTTTGATTATGTTCTCTGTGGAGGAGAAACTGGAAGGGAATGCAAAAATATCGAGTAATTGTTTTACACCAGGGGATATGTTTAGCTCTTCTTATAGATAGTTTCCATGGAGTTCTGACACAGTGTTGGGGAGGCACGAAAGTATTTTATGAAAAAGTCAAACAGGTGTTGAAGAAATATTCCTGCAGTCTTTCCTAGTCCCTTGCAACTCTGACCTGGGAGCACAGGGTACTGGTGTTCTTTCTGCACTCCTACCCTGTACCTCCCCTCTAGCTGATCTTTACAAACACTTGACTTTTCCTGGTATAGAAAGTATAGAAAGGTAAGAAGGGAGTTGAAGATGCATAGAGTAAGGTGGGTATTGCTGAATAAAGGCACTGTTTTCACATACACTCATGTAGCAGTATCAGAGAAGCACCAGCTCATCTACCTGTAATGGATTGAATAAGAAGCAAGAAACAAGTCAGAGAAGATACTTATTACTGTCTGAACATGTAGATCAGTGCTGTGATGCCAAACACAAAGTCAGTGCTACACAGAGAATAGTGAGTGAGAACTGGAATGGTAAGAGATTTACCTTTTTGAGCCCACTCTGGCTGTTAAGTGCCACTGCAGGAACTGGTGAAGCTTCTGCCACAGTATGAGCAGTCTGATGCTGGTGGCTTTGAAGCTGCTGCTGATCTGGTTGTCTGATTCTCTGCCAGGACCTGAAACGTGTGGGCTTCTGGGGGAGGTGAGTTGTCCCTCTTGTTGCTGGGAGACATATTTCAATTGCAAAAAGCAGCAATCTCCATTCCGTGCAGAAGTGTCAGGACTAGGCACTGGAGATGACCTACTTTTGGTGAACCTCCTCTTTGATTCTCACTTCTGGAAAAAGAGGTCTATGGCAAATTACTGCAAAAAAAGTCATATATTTTCAAGATGAGGAAGATCAGAAAAGAGAATGTGAAATTAATATGAAAAGTGCTAAAGTACACACATATATCAGGAAATTTTCCTGTGCTATGCAGTAATGAAGGCAGACAGGAGACCTGGATGCAGCCCAACACCTCAACTTGTCTATGCAAGAGTCAAGCCAGTGGTAGTGAATGACAGACCTGGAGCTGCTCTTGTTCCAGGGAAATTGTTGGAGTGGCAAATACAACAATGAATGAGCATGAAGTTGTAAGCCCAGCTCTTGTGAGGTGTCCTGTTGAAAGCTGATTATAGATATACCCCAAATAACATAGTCAGACAGCAGAAACAGCTGATTTCTGAGTTACAAATGGCTTAAATCCTTGCTGTGCACGGCTGAAACTATCTAATGTGAAATAAAGAGGTTAAAAACGTTCTGGCATGTTCCACCACGTATCTTGCATCCTGCACTTTTCATTTTCCAAGCAATTTATAAATAGTTTTCTGACAACATTTGTCTAAGGAATATAGCAAAGTAAATGCTATTCCCACTCTGAATGCAGAATGAAAAGCATTGACAGCAGTAGCCCCTTATTGAGGTTTTCTGTGAGAAAACAAGTGAGAGACCTTGGTAAAAATAGATCTGAACTTCCTGTGATGCCACTGCAGCTATAAAATGTTTATAACTGTGTGTTTTCACCAAATGTCCTTGGCCTATCTTTGAGAATATTTTACTGGGAAATGGAGATTCTTACCATGGAAGTAGAAATCTTTGTCCTTAGCAGTGGACCTGCACTGCAGTATGTGGGTCAGCAGCAACATGCAGAGCTTAAAGGTGAAAATGTGCAGTTCTCACAAGGTTTTGTTTAATATGACAGCCCTGGTCTTGGGATTTTTATAGTGTGAAGTCTTAAAAAAAGAGAATGAATGAGTGTTTGATACCTGGGTAACACATACACACAGCACCTACTATTTCTTTGTGTCTGAATATGAATCTCTGCTGCTTTTAGGAGCTGGAGGAGAAGCATCGTGAGGCTCAGATCGCAGCACAACACCTGGAGTTGCAGCTGAAACAGAAGGAACAATTCTATGAGGAAAAACTCAAAGTAAAAATATCTTATCTTCCTACAAGATTTTGTGGGTAGAAGGAGTTCAGGGAAAACCAGTTGCCTTTAGGCTCTGATTGTTTAGTCCTAGGAGTAGCCTTCTTGCTCACCCCTATTGCAATGTGCAGGGAGCTTAGTGGGATCTAAATCAGCTTTTCTCCCAGTCCCTGCCATTGTACCTCAACTGTCTGTAGCACTGCATTAGGACAGCTGGGATTGGAAGTCAGAACTAGAGGGAGGCAGTTGGTGATTGTAATTTGACTACTGCTGACTCAATGATACTTAATGCTGTTAGATCTCACACCCCGAAGAAGCTTTCAGTTCCTACTGGTGATTTTCTGTGAGTGTTCACTCAGCCTACCTGCAAGTTTTAAATGCAGCAAATACTGGAGCATTTCTGAAATTCCATCCTCTTGGAGCTGTAACATCTGCCAAGAAGCCACAGAAACCACCCACTTTGTTTTTGTCTTTTCCAGGGTAGCATTAACAAACAGTTAGAAATAGAATCATAGACACCATCTAAAATTAGGAAAAACAAGCTGGGAAATAGGAATATGTGCACTGGCTATGGTTTTTTCTAAAGAGCTTACAGTATGACAGGCAGTAAATACATTTTGTAAGAATCTTTGCTAAACCAGGTTATTCTTAGTAGAAACAATCTTTATATGGTACATTTATCTAGGACCTTAATTCTACATTTTGGCTTAAATGTGAGAGGACATAATATTTAAGAGGAGAGAAGAAATTTCTGTGGGAGAAATATGAAGGAAAAAAAGAGAAGATTTTTTGGTAGATCAGAGCATCTGGTAATCAGCAATGAGAGGAGAGTGATTGATAGAAAGCAGGAAGATCAGATGTAGATGTTGGGAAAGGAGAAGTGGTGATATAAAAGCTGGAAGAGAGGATAGGTATTAGAAAATGAATAAAAAGAAAAAGAGAACCAGTGTATTATGGGGACCAATGTTAGAGGCTTTAGGAGGAGAAATCAGGAAACCAGATGAAAAAGGTTCAAAGGGATGAAAGAGGACATGGGGTTTTTGTAATTGGAACAGTAAAAAATATCCTGTGGTGAGCGGAATTTGTGCCTTCAAAAATTTCTTTGAAGGGAAGGACCTTTAGTTAACAACTGATTTAGAGCTCTGGACGTGCATACATGACATGCATTTTTTAAAAAAGTGTAGCAATTAATTACTTTAGTCCTGTTCCTGATGACAGGTATTTGTGTCAAAAAAACAAGGTTTTTACTTAGCTGTTAGATTTGGTGTCTCCAACTGGAAGAATTCCTGTGGTTCTCAGTTGCCTTTCTCATCCACACTTATGGAACTCCCAGATTCCTTCTGAGCCATATTGGTAGGGCAGCCAAAGGATGGGCACTTTCTTATTTCCCCTATTGTACATATTTTGGAGTAGAGAGTTTTTCTGGGTGGTTTTTTTTTGCATTAGTCTGGAACTGTTCTTGAACAGAGTTTATATGACTTAAAGTAATAATTTTAAAAAATCTGTGCTGTCTCCATGTCTATAAAATTCCATCATCAAGTTGAGTCTTCAAGGATAATTGAGGGAATGCTTTTTTCTGGAGTTTGCTCTTCCATGGATTTCATGCAATTGCATTCTGGGTTTAATTTTGCTTGAGATATGATCAATTGCTTAAAAAAAAAAAATCTGTCTATCTTCATGATTTTCTTTCTGCTTGCCCTTTACCCAGTGAAACAGATATAATTTAGACAAAAGAAATGTCTTCATTTAGGTGTTGGAAAATCAGATGAAGAAAGATCTTGCAGATAAGGAAGCACTTGAGAATATGCTCAGAAGACATGAAGAAGAAGCACGTGAAAAATGTAAAGTCCTGGCTGAGCAGAAGGCGGTATGTGGTGTTGAATTGGAAATCAAAGCAGTTGAAGGGTAGCTTTCTGACACTGATTTCAAGCAAGATAATCTTGTTTGAGGTTTTGCAGTGCTGCTGAGCTGCTTTGAAGGAAATTCGTTGATTAATGCTAATTTTGAAAGACATGATTTTTTAATTCAGCGTATCTTCACGAATATTTCCTTAAAATTAACCATGCATCTTGTTGTGTACCCCTCATTTTGATAATATAATGGTTGCTTTTCTTCCTAATATTAAAGCAGCAAAAAGCAGTTGTAAATAGCTCCAGGAATTGCATCTTTGATGCTCTTCTGGCCATTTGTTCAGTCTTCTTTTAGTTCTTCTTGTTTCTAGAAAAAGTTCAGACTTTTTATAAACTTTACTTTTACAATCACTTGTGTTTTAGATGATCAATGCAATGGACTCGAAGATCAGGTCACTGGAACAGAGAATTGTGGAGTTGTCTGAGGCCAACAAACTGGCAGCAAACAGCAGCCTCTTTACCCAGAGGAACATGTGAGTGTGGCAGCTGCAGTCACTGCTGAACAGGTCTCAGGGAGATGACCTGAAGGTCTTTTCCAATCTAAATGATTCTCTGATTCTCACTGTAAAAGTGGTTCTTTCTTGCAGGCCTGCTGTGCTCCCTGCCTGTTTTTCAGTGATATGCTTTCAGAAACAGGCTTGTTCTTCACATACCTGTGGCTCACTGTGTATTTTGTGTTTCCTCAAACATGACTGGGAAAATTGGTTTGTATTACAGTGAGTGTTTACTTTGGAGCCTTTCCTAAGGCAGATGATTTGTGCTGGTTTGCCAAACATATTAAATGAATACTAATAATTTTAATATCCAAAATACCTCTGGAGAAGCATATATTCCATTTTTGAACGTAAATATTGCTAATAGATTTTATATTTTCCTTGATTCCTGTGACACACGATGTTGAAATTGAAAACTTTAAATACCTTTCATTCACAAACATCCCATCCTGTGTGGATTATTTGATACATCCTGCAGGGCAAAGCTAAAGCAGTTTATGCCCTTACTGAGTTCAGAGATCCACCAGCTTTGGCTGTTTGCACAAAGGTTTTCTGTGTCCATCAGCTGCTGGGTGCAATGTCAGGTGGTGCCCTTGTGGGAAGCACTTGGATAGATTCCCCTATAATATTGAATAGAATCAGACAGGGATGAGTTTTGGCGAAGAGCTGCCTTGGTTTTATTCCTTTTCAGTGGTGATTATGCCTCCAGATATGTAATGGCTCCAGTTTTCATTGTATTTCAAATATCTGGCAAGTTATTTTAGCCTGAGCAGCCAAAAATATTCACAGAAATAACTGAGGAATTAAATCGTGTTGCTTTATGCTCCAGATGACCTCTAGTTAATCACCCAGGAAGTTTGTTGAGGCAACCAAAGCCATAATTTACCTTCAATCTGAAATAAAACATAAATGTTTTCCCAGTGTGTACCTGGGAAGCATTTGGAAGATCAAGTGTCACAGTCATTGGTCTGACTGAGTGTAAGAACTTAGCTGAGCTGGATGCACCCTCTGAGAGGAGTACACTTAACTGAAGAGCCATAAAAACCAAGGAAAACATATAATAGCATTTTAACATATGACTTAGATTATTGAGAGACATGTTGTCAAGTGACGTAACTTTGCAGGATTGGTAGAAGATAGGACAGAATTAGCAACATTTTGAGAGAAAATTGCTTTATTATGCATGCAGATAGTTAATGATTTTGTGCTTGTTTTGTGAATTGGGCTGGTGAAAATGCATAAATTGTTGTTGGACTGCATTTTGAATGCACAAAAGCTACAGCTAATCTGAGCATTTATCAAGAGGAGAACTGGTGATTAAACCCTTCAGAGAAGAGGGGAGCTCTGCAAGCTCTTGTTCCAGCAGTATCTGAGGAAACCAGTGATTATCAGGTTCCTGAGAAGATAGCCCAGTAAACAGTAGGAAATGAAATAACACCATTTGACAGTTCTGGCTGACAATACTCTGTAGAGGTAAATTAAAAAGAGAGAAAAGGTGAAAGGGTGGTTTTGCTTGCAATGCACAGAAATGTGAGTCAGAAGACTAAAGTTCTATTTTTAGTTTTGTTAAGTCTTCCTATTTGATCTTGGGCAACCCACATAATTTCTCTGGGATGGGATTAATAACAGCTTATCTCACAGTGAACTTCTTAAAATATTAATTCATTAATATATGGAGAGCTTTGTGAGGCTTCTAAGTAGAAAGCACACTATGAGGCAGAATTTTCTAATGCACGATAACATGATTCCAGGAATTGTAAATAATGTAGAAAGACCTTTTTTTTTTTTTTTGAGGGTATGCATTTCATATGGTAGTAGTTAATCATTGCTAGCTCTCAAAATTCTTATGAACACAAGTAATTGCTTTTGTTCACTTTGTAGATTAAGAATTTGATCAAAGACAACAAAACTTCACATCAGTGTAGGTCAAGTTCTAGATCCATTACAATTTAAAAAGACCACAACAAACAACCCCAAACACATTACCCCCTATCCTGCAGCATCTCATTCCTCTTATCTCATGGAAATACATTGTGAGAAAGCAACTCTTCTTAGCATTTGTTTTTCCTGCATAGAAAAACACGTAACAAGGAACTGAAGAAATGAGGAGAATGAGCTGTAGCTCAAATATTGTTGTAGATTACCCTGTACAAGATCCATTTGTCTGTGCAACTTGCAAACATGGCATTTTAGTGCTCTGGGCATATGTTGATGAATACACTAGTTTTTTTTAATGTTTAGTTGGGATGTAGAATTTAAGCTGTGAACTGAACTGTTCTACTTAAACAGGAAACTTGCGTTCTTCCTTATTTCACCCCAGTGAAAGGACATATGTTGGGGACATTTTGGGTTTGTCACTTGTGCATTTCTCCTATCAGGAAAGCCCAAGAGGAGATGATTTCAGAGCTCAGGCAACAGAAGTTCTACTTGGAAACACAAGCTGGAAAGTTAGAGGCCCAGAACCGAAAATTAGAAGAACAATTGGAAAAGATGAGTCACCAAGATCACACTGACAAGAACCGCCTGCTGGAGCTGGAGACACGGCTGAGAGAGGTGAAAACTTGGCTTCAATCCCTCCCAACAAACTGTCTTGAATGCATCCCATTTTGAGTAATGTAGTGAGAACTAGAATTAAGTTGTTTTAGTGGTATTTGAAAGTGTATTAATTTAGTTTGGTCTAACAGTACTTTTTTTTTCCCCCTGTAGTAGTTAAAAAAAAAAATAAATAAAAAAAATTGCTCATTAGAAGGAGAGAAAAGTAATTATTAAGGACTTGTCATTCTGAATATGAGATTTCAGATCATCTTGCTTCCTCAGAATCTTATTTATGTGGGTTTTTTTTCTACAATATCCTTATAGTATTGTCTGGTAGAGAATAAAAGCTCAGCTATGTACAATGATCAGATTAACCATTGCCTTAGAGTCTGCAGCAGAGAAACCAAAGGACACAGCAGAACTGCTGTAAGAAAACAGGAGACCTGTTGCTTCACACACATTTTTTTTGAGTTTTTTTGGAAAGAAAACCTACAGTAATATGAAAATATAAATTTTTAAAGATTTGTGAGCTGTGCCTCATTTTTAGTTTTGTATCAACTAGTTTGGATCCACTTCAGATCTTCGTTTACCTTCTCCAGTCTCTACTAATTTTTAGCTAAGACTGAAATCTTGCCTTTAGCTAAAGGAGTTGGAAAACCATGTCCTTGTTTCACCAGAAGCTGGTTGGGACCAGTGTAAGATTTCTGACAGGCTTGTCATGCATCTCCAGCACAACAGACAGATTCCCTTGGGATAACAGACAGCTTGAAGAAGGTGCTAAAGTTTGGAATTGATTTTGAGCACTGAGATCTGTTCTGCTGGTGGTTCATTTCTTATCCATGAAATGACATGTTTATCCCTGAGTATGTTGCAAGAAAACCTTCATCAGAAGCCACTCAGGTAAACCCAGAGCCAGATGAGCTGGTGGCTTTCTTTAAAAGGAATCTGAAGGGAAGATGAAATATGCAAGTCAATTGCAAAATGTGTATAACATTTACATAAGAATAGATATTAATATGGACATTTATGCCTAGAGCTTCCCAAGTAAAGATTTTTAAAGACTCTCAATTTCAGTGTAGAAAGTTCATCACAAACTGTTTCAACTTTTTGTGTCAACATTTGATATGTGGAGTTTGAGTTACAGCTGGAACTATTCTTGTACCCTTGTAATTTCAAAATGGCAGGTTGCTTTTTACCTCTTACCAAGCAAACCAGTAGTTTTTAGGGAGTAGACAAAACTGCATCCTTGACTTTTCAGTAACTGAAGCAATCTATAAGGACGTGATTTTTGGGATAGACATGGCAAAGGCATCTTAAAGCAAGGTCTGAAATGACATTACGTTGCCTGTCTCTTGTTTGTTAGTAACTTATATTCTACTTTTCCTTTCTTCAGGTTAGTCTGGAGCATGAAGAACAAAAGCTGGAACTCAAGAGGCAGCTGACAGAGCTGCAGCTGACCCTGCAGGAGAGGGAATCTCAGATCACTGGGCTGCAGGCGGCACGGACAGCCCTGGAGAACCAGCTCCGCGAAGCCAAAACTGAGCTGGAGGAGACAACAGCTGAGGCAGAGGAAGAGATCCAAGCCCTCACGGTGAGCCCTGAAATCTCTGCTATGAGCTCTATACACAGATAAGAATTATGGAGGTGCATGTTTCGTAGAGAGGTTAAAATTAACTTTTAGTGTTAAATTTTTAATTTTCAGAATTTGGATATGAATTGTGCCTTGTGTTGATAGAAGCAGGAATGGCTAAAATGCCAAATTATATCTTTAACCACATGAATACTTCTAAGTAATGGTTCATTGCTGCCAAAACTGATTGATGGCTTGTAGGAGCTTTATTACTTTTGTACTGAGGTGAAGGTTGCATCTAAAATTGGTATTTTTAGGAGCTTTACTCTGTGACATACTTAATTAAATGATAGCTCGTGAGTTTAAAAGTACTTGATGATCATAAATGTTTTGATTATTTTTTTCCTATCAGTTACCCTGCTTTGAGGATGCTTATTCAGGGGGGGAGAAAAACCCCACCAAATTCCTAGGAAAGAGTGTTCTTAGCACATAATGCTTGTTTCATTAGAAATTGTCACACGTGTCTTGCAGTCTCTGGTGAGGTGTGTGAATGATAGAAAGGAAAAAAAAAAAAAGTTCAAGTCTTGCCACCCTCTTCCACCCCAGCCCCCTGTAAATGGAATTCTAGATTATATGTTGCTGGTTGCTGTCTCTTGAGTACAAAAGCATTCTTTCAAACTGTTTGATTCTAAGAAATATTTCCATCACAAAAGATTCCCAGGGTTGTGGGGTAGAGAGTGGAGATGACCTGCTACCAGCTAAACCCCTTTGTGCAGCAGCCTTTAATGACCTTCAAATCCTGTTATTTGGAAGCGTTGAAAATGTGCATTCTTGTGCTCCAGTGGCATTTAATCAAAGAGCTGTTCCGAGTATTCCTGCCAGAGTATTCCTGCCATTGCTGTTTTTTGGAAGGGGTGGTGGGCTCAGCTGACGTGGCTGCTGGAATTATGCTGATGCTTTGGGAGATGAATGGGAGAACCATTCCCTCAGTTCTAAAGTGGGCACAAGCTGGGCAAGTGCAGCAACAGCATCGAGGCCTAAGAATAACTGAATAGAACATGGCATTGGGTTCTTTTCTGCTCAAAACTGAGGCAGTCCCCTCCCAGCTGAAAGCTTTGCATAACAACTAATATCACTGCCAGTGGGCTGGTGATGTGCTTGATATCTTTACCCAACAGTGAAACAGATGAATATTCATGCCCTGTGTTCACTCAGTCATTGCTTCAGTTAATTTGGCAGAATGGTGGTGCTCTTGGAGCAGCTGCTGTGAGACAGTCCAGTTCGGTGGGCTGGGGAGTGTTCCTGTCATGGATTTTTTTATATACTTCTTTTTTTTATTTTTCACCTTGCCTGTGGTGGTAAGATAGCTTTTTAGCTCTCATATTTGACTTCTGCTGAACAGTTTTTTCCTGTTTAGTCTCTTGGCTCTAAGGGAAATGTTCTGAATGAAGAAAGGTGGCTGGATGTGCTCGTGCACTAACCTTTACACAGGTTACCTTTAGCACATGACATTAGACACTTTTTAAATCCCTTTCATGAATTTTGAGAGAGGCCATGAGGCTGAAACAAGAACTTTTTGCTTTGTCATGCTTTGCTTGTAAATTAGGGGGTAAAATGGTGCATGCAATCCTGCATTCTTTAAAAAAAGTGTTTGCACTTTTCCATGCTTTGGATGCTGTCTTCCAAAGAATTGATTATTGTGTTTTATCACTGCTTTTCAGAGAGGCTCGGGATTTAAAAGGGACTTTGTGGTAGGACTCAGGTAGATTGGCAGAGCTGTTTGGGATGGCTTGCATAGTATATCATTATAGCTTTTCTTTGCAAGCATTAAATTGTATGCAGTGTTTATTTTCTATGAAATACCAATCTGGATATGGAAGTAAAACCAGCTCAAATTATAAAGTCAAGAATGTACAAACTTAAAATGGGATCAACAAGTCTTCTGCTGACCACTTCAGAAGGAACCTGTTGTCACATAATTCCATTCTTGAGTTTGTACATTTTTCTAAAGCAGTTCAGAACTGGGAGCCATAAGTGTATTTTGATTAAGTAGGATGTGACTTTTGCTAATCAGTTCTTTGCCACTGCAAAGTGCTTTCATACCCTGCAGCATCTGCCTTCCAAACTTTGCTTGCTGGTAGATTGTTCTGCAGTTTGTTTAGCAACAGCTGTTGGATTCGAATTCTAATGTATGAAAAATTGATGATTAACTTCTTACCTCCTTTAGGCACATAGAGATGAAATCCAGCGTAAATTTGAAGCCCTTCGTAATAGCTGCACAGTGAGTATTAAATACAGATCATTGAATTATTTTGAAATTAAGGATAATGAAACAAACAATTTCCTCCTTTAATCCTTGATGACACTAGTTCCTAATGTGGACTTCTGGCTTCAAGGTGTTAGTAGGACCTGGATGGATTGGATTTGATTTCTTTTAGGTTTCAGGTAAACCTCAATTTTGAGGTTTTAGTCTGATCATGAAATTGATACTATTCTTCTTTTTGGAGAAGAAAGTAAATTAAAATATCTCATTGCAGTGCAGCTAATAAGAATGGTGTAGCAGCTGCAAAAAATGACTGTAGGTGAAGATCTTTTCTGCTCACAAGAAGAAAAGATCTACCTGTCCAAATCCTGAGCTGCATTGTAGATCTAGGCCAGAGTGGGTTTTAAGGAGGATTTTGACACTATTTGAAGAGGCAAGGAGTGTTAAGGTTCCAAATAATATGTTGACATGTAGTTGTCTGCTCAAAGTGCAGAGAGGACTCCAGGATCTGAATTTTCGCCTTGAAATCTTTGACATGTTTTTGGATTCATTCATTTCATCAGTCCAGGACAGATGTCCAAGGGCTTTGTCTATCCACAGGGATTCTTGAGGTTTAACAATCTTCACACTTGTTTATGATGTTGATAGAGGGCATCTGCCTTCCAATGACTTGAATTACAGAAGTGTTGGATGAGCACCACAGTCCTCTGGATCAGCAGTGATTGCTGATCCCTCTAGGCTTTTTCTCCTTCCCCACCCTGTAAACAGGGCTTAATTCTGGGATTTTTTTATCTTGATTGTTTCCCTACTTCCAGTGATTTCTTCAAATTTAATTTTTCATGCTGTAGGACTAAGTATCTGTGCAAGTTTCCATCTTCCAAGAATACCTTTTCAGGATGAGAGTCATTCTGTTTTCCTCACTTACTCTTTAGCACTTCAGCAAGGGCATTCTTCTGTTCATAAAATATCCAGAGGTGAAGAAATCCTACACAAGAATCTTTACTTTTTGTTCCCTTCTTCATTTTCTTAGATTGATCCTCCAGCTCCATGTGTGTCATCATATATCTTACATCCATAGCTCTCTTCTTTTGCTCTATACCTTGCCCTTCAGTCAGAACTGCAGCTTTCTATGCAAACACTTATGTGATCTCCATGGAGGCAAAAACCAGATGTGGAGCAGTGGTTTCTGTTCTCTGCAGAGTTGGCAGAGCCTGTAACTCATTATCCAGTAACACTTTGTCTCTGAGTGTGGTGAACAAGCTCCAGCAGTAAAGAGTGACCCATAACATTTCCAGAATGTCGAGAGCTTCAAAGGTTCTGCATCAAAGGATTTGTAAAAGTGTTGTGCATTGTCAGGCCCTTCAGTGGGATAAGTGGGATCAGACATCTTCATCAATAAGAAATTAATTAAATAGTTCCTAAATGAATAATACATGCTCATCATACATTCTCTTTCCAGCCCAGGAGAATGCCATGTATAATTTAATTGACCATGGACAGAAACTTTCCTGTTCTGTGTTATGACTGGCCCTAGCTGTCCATCCTGTCTGCTGAGGAGCTCTGAGAGGAAATCAGGGCAATCTTCTCCTGACAGTGAGGGTCAGGGGACACTAATTATGGTGCATTCACCAGATGTTTCAGCCTCGTGTTTATCTGATGGTAACCAGTATGATACAGGCTGTGCTTTTTGGTGACCACGTGATTCCACTTGAAGGTGATTAGAATTTATACTCCTTTTAAAATCAGACAGCACTCCAAGAGAATAATTGTAATATGCTGCTACTTATACAGCATGACAATGGCCGGGTTTATTCTTTTAGCAAGTTCTCAAAAGATATCCTTTTTAAGCTGATACAAACTCCTTGAACTAGTCTGGCAAACTTTGGTAGGGAATTATTTTTATTTGATCTTATTGAGAAGCCTCAAACAGCATAAGAATTATGAAAATAAGATTAGACAGGAAAAAATATTGAAATATTGAATTACTTCAGTACTTTTGTAGCATTCAAAAGATAAATAAAAATACTTAATCTACTTTCTTTGGTATTTTTTCTGTCTCTCTAGCTTCACAAAGGTCACAGCTTCTGATTGGAGGCTTAACTCAAATGTGTGTCTGCTTTCCTTGTATGCTTATTGCACACTTGTTATTCCTTTTGCTGAGGTCTCTGTGCAAGGAGATATCTTTTTAGGTTCTCCTGTTTGTTAATTTTAAATTTGCTGGGTTTGGGTCAGAGACACAGAGACCATTGCTGTGGTGTTGGTCATGCTTTCTGCCTTGTTTGTGAATTTATATTCAGTTGCTCTGATAGCTCTGCATTGTTTCCCCTTGTGACATCTCTCTTTTATTATTGGGGGTCAAAAAGAAAATGCTAAAATTTGCTTTCTCTGGCTCTCAGTTGAGCCAGAAATAGCAGGATACCTAGTTACAACAAAAATTGTAAATTGTTGTGCCTGCTGCACACACAGGGCTTGTGGACACACACAGAGGGTGGTATTTTATCACAGACTTCTCACAAGGATAGCTCATCCAGCAACTCTGCTGAGGGAGAAGAACTAGTTCCCTACATCAATTCTATCAAAAATGTGATCCATTTGAAATACTGGAAGTATTTTCCAGGCCACCAGAGAAAGATCTAGAAATAAAAGGCATTTTTAAATAGGAAAATTTACATATTTGTCCATTGTTTCCAGGTGCCTCTGAATTATGGCTTGTTCTGGGATCATCAACATGTGTAAAATTAAAAATACAACTAAGTTATCTAAGCAATACTAGAAATGTTTCAAAAAGAAAACATTCAGTAAACAGGGAGTAAAGTCTTTAAATATTTAGAAGAAAAGAATCCTATAAAGTGTTTACACTCAGTTTAGTAAATACTAGAGAACCTTGTAATCCAGAGAATCTTGTAAGGTTTTCAGATACAGACTGTTACTTTTACTCTAGCAATGAGAATTTCTTAACACTAATTGGATGTTGCATTTCCATTTATTCAAGTTTTCTCCAATAAAACAAAGGTGATCTTCTCTCCTCGAGTTTCTTTTCTCATCCTGTGTTCCCATTTAAGCATTAACAGGCTTGATTCTGCACTTGCCCATGAGATTGGATATTGAGGCAATGAGTCTGTGAGCTCATCAGACACGTGTATAATTTTAGTCATGCATGAAGTCTTGCTGACTTCAGTCTAAGATCCTGATTCCACATTGGCTCAGTGAGCTGGCCTACAAGAATAGTCTGTGTTCTTGACAGCTTCCAAAATTATATCCAAAGATGTTATATACTTTATGCTAAATTATGTTTCAGAGTAAAGGGATCTTGCCCATTGTAACAAGGCTAATACCCAGGCAAAAACATAAATGGCTTTGTTAAATTTGTAAAGAAAACAAAAAGAGAAAATTGCTGTTGGGTGGGAGGGGTTATCCTGATTCTCATTTCACAGAAAATATGATGGCACATACCAGTTACAGGCAGAGATTGAACTTCTGTAGCTTTAAAAAAGTCAGAGACTTGTGGGGTGTTGCCGTGAAAGAGGTTAATGGGACGTAGACCATGGACAGCATCTTCATAATTTCATTTGAGGATGAGGCTCCTGGTTGGTAGAGGAGTCCAGGGACTGTGTTTTAGTCCTGGGTTGGTGTGGGAAGGAGAGGAATGCAGTGCAGTGTCCTACTGCTCTGCAGCTCCCCATGACAGCAATGTCCCTCAAGCTAAGCCATGATGGGTTTTTGGAGACTGAGATCCCTGTATAAGGTCTGTTTCAAGGCACAGATGTTGTCTGACTGTGGAAAGGGGAGGAAAGTGAGGGATTCGTTGCTATAAACAGATCAAACAGGTAGAAATACAATCCCTCTGCAGCCGTGTTCTGGGTGCTCTGCTCTGTTACACTGCTGGGATTTCTCCGTCTGAAAAGCTTCATCTCAGATCCAGATGTGAGACAAAGCAAGTCTGATGTCTGCTCTTGCTTCCTCCTCACAAGAATTTGGGGCTGAGAGACAGCTTTTTATTGTTTCCTATTTGCTTCTGACAGGTAGCTTTCTAGTAGAGATTAGTGGGGATGGGGAGGACTGGAAGTGGATAGAGGAAAACTATTAGTCTGGAATTACGTTGAGCTCCAAATAACATGCTGCTGAAAGCATCCCAAAAGAGTTTCCCTTGCTGTGTCCTTGCATTTTTCTGCATGTTCACTGGGGGCATCTGAGAACTGAGACATCTCTATGAAGGAATAAGGGTATGGAGAAGTTTGCAAGCTGCAGTTACTAGTATATAAATAAAACTCCTTCTTTTACTCCTTTCCCTCGTTACTTTGCCTGGGGTTTTGCTACGTGGAACATGTGGATTAAGTTCTGTACATTGTGTCTGATATGCAAACCTAATCATCATGGCCCTGACTGCTTGTTGCTGTGATGTTTAATTTGATCTGTGGCTGGAGAGGTTTGTAGAGCCAGGTGTAACAGCTGGGAACGTGCTCAGTCTCACTAGAGGAACACCCTGCTTTCCTCAAACTGTGCAACAGGGAAGGAATTGTGCAGTATGTGGTCCCTTCTGCTGAGGAGCTGCTCTGCTTGGGTTGTTTTGTAATATTTAAAAATGAAACAGAGTCTTCTGTATCTTTATCTTCTGTATAAAGATAAGTTGAGTGCTTAGATGTGGCGTGTAGTGAACAATCTGCCAAGATGAGCGTGGTGTAGTTCGGTGATATCTCTGTTTTAAGGATTAGTTTTGATGAAGATGTGCATAAATTGAAGAGAAAATTCCAATTGCTCTGTGAGTGATGATGCAGTGGCCTAGATGGTCTAGGATTGCTTTTCCAAGCTTTCAAGTGTTTAGTTGTTTTATAAACTTTAAATGTGAAGATTTTTATATTTATATTATGTGTTTCTAAAGGATTTAATAGTGTTTTCTTGCAGACTTTCTTTTCATATACTTCAAATTTACCTTCAGAATTGCTTAGGGTTGGTTGGTTTGGGTTTGTTTTTTTGGTGGTTTTTTTTTTTTGCCTGGGGATTTCCTTAACTGGAAAAAAAAAAAAATACCTAAAGCTATTAACTCTTCCCAGGTGCAGGATTGTGGCATAGGTTGTGTCTATGTATTTATGCCTAAGACAACAATTCCAATTAAATGTGGTTTTTTGATTTGTATTTTCTTTTTTGTTGGACCCCAGGACAGGCATTTATATCACACCATGTCCCATTTTCCTGTGTCAGTATTACCCATTACTCTTTAGGCTTTATAGTATTAATAAACTCTCTCATTCTGTTGGGTTCTGTATAGCTGTAGATAGCTTTTAAAAATTGGAATTTGTTAACAGATTCCTCCTTTCCCCATGAAAAATGGAAAATTGTACCAAGAACAAATTTTCTCTAGTTAAAAAAAATTAAATCTATCAATCTATATGGATTACATTATATAGGTTATCATATAGTTGGAATTTAAGCCAGGGCATTTTGGAATTGTCAGTAAATACACTGTCAGAAAAAATATTCAAGAAAGGAGATCAAATCACTTCTTCTGGAACCCTCCTTTCTTTACTGCTTTATTTGTCTGAAATTTTCCAGAAATATCCTACTAGGTAAAATGTAGCAGTGAAATATAAAATGATTGGGTTTAATTTTAGTTATATTCAGGGAAAGAAGTCAAAATCTCAGAACACAGAATAAAAGAAAATGGGAGCTCAACTTCTAGCCCTTAAGGAATTAAATCAACTTGAAATGCACCAGTTTTAATAATTCATTAAGTAGTTTGACACATTAACTCTGCATGTAACTTTATCCATTTTGTGTTTCCCCCATCTCTGCTTTCTTGTGCTTCGAAGCTAGTTTAATAATTTTTATAGAAGTACTTGTATTAATATATAAAATAGATGTGGAAGAAACCATGGATATATAAAATACATCTTCAAACTACTTAGATACGTGATGTAGTTAAATATAAAAATAAAAACAGGTGGAAGGAAAAGAAAGTTCCTTATCTGGCAGTTAGTTGAGATCTCAGCTGTTGGAAGAATGGCAGGTAAAACACTGTAAAAACAAATGTTCTTTTGCTCCTTTTTGTTTATATAAATACATATCTAAGTTCTTATCCTGGTAGCAATACAAACACTAGCACGTCCTTCTGACACAGGCTGCCTTCTCGGAAAGCTTGGTGCAAACAATCCAGAATAAAATGTGTGTTTTGAACAGGGCAGTTTTGTGTGCTCAGGAAGGAGCACACAATCAGATTCTCATTAGAAATGTGGTGTTGTGGAGTGTGAATCATCTTGATTCGACCCTGAACATATGGGTGGCAGGAACTCCCCTTCACCCAGCAGGGAGTAATGTCTGTTGGACTTTTCCTGCTTACAGTTTAAAAACCAAATACTGTTAATTTAGGTCTAGGAGAGGCATGGTAAAAGGCTGCCAAAATCTGTGTTAGAGATTCTTCAAAAAGAAGTGGCTGTCATATTTCCAGAGAACTGAGAAGAGCTGTGTGCTCTATCCTCTACTGCTTTAGATATTTAAGTCCCTGGCTTGTGTAGGAAATTGGAATATTTAAATTTGAATGTGTGGCCAACTGTGCTCTGGGGTTTTATTATTTTCCCATTTAATGAAGTGTCTTATTCACTTTTCTTTGACATCCAGGCAAAAAAGCCTCTAGAACATATTTTTGAGAGTTGAATATGAATTGTATGGAGTTTATCAGTTTCTGAAATTCTTTTTATTAAGCTGATTTCAAGATTGTACTGAGATTTCTTTCTCTTCTGTTGTGGTGACGTTGGTTTTGAGTTAGGAGGAGGTACATATTCATCCACCCTGTGTTCAGGCCTTTCATTCATAAAAATCAAACGTGAAAATGGCCCACTGTTGTTTATATTTTCCTTTAAATTTAAGGGAAAAGTGGTTTAAAGTGTTAAGTGGAATGCTGTTCTGATTAAACAATGTTTCCACTTCACCCAAAGGCATTTTTTCTTTTCACTGGTATTCTGTTAATCTGTTGTATTACCACAGTAGTTTCTTTCCTAGTGGTCCCATCCATAATGCTGCTACTTTATATTTCTTAAAATTTCTCTGCCTTTCCTGGTTACACACAGTGTTACACATAATAATACAAGCAATTCCCAGGGGTATCCATCAGGTTTTAGTGCCTCCACTGCACCTCTCAGTCAGTTTTCTTCAATACCACTCTTTGAAAGCCTCTCTGAGAGGTATTGACCTCATTGCTCTTAGGGGAAATTGAGGCAAAAAAAAAAAGAAAAGTGCTTTGGCAAAGGCACTGCAAGTCAGCAGCAGGGCTGGGAATACAACCAGAGCTCCTGACTCCCAACCCAGTGCTTTAGCTGTGACAGTTCACTCATATAATAAATTGCATTGCAGCATATTTGTACTCTGAACCAGATTAAAAAAAAAACCAGGTTATTTTCTGTAAGAAACAAAACCCTCTTCGTAAGTGAAGTACAATCCTATGCATAAAAATGTACCATTTACTTTTGTTTAAATTTGAAAAGAGTGTAAAAGCTTGGCAATAAATGTTTCTGTGCGAGAACACTTACTCACAAACCTGTGCTCGCTGCCATGTAATTTAATTTGTTTTTCTTTCCAGGTGATTTCGGATTTGGAAGAGCAGCTGAACCAGCTCACTGAAGACAATGCAGAACTGAACAACCAGAATTTCTTCCTGTCCAAACAACTCGACGAGGCCTCGGGGGCCAACGATGAGGTTGTGCAGCTGCGAAGCGAAGTCGACCACCTGCGCCGAGAGATCACCGAGAGGGAGATGCAGCTCACCAGCCAGAAACAGGTGAGGCTCTCCAAGTCTGGGGCATGATCTCTTGCTGATAGCTGGCTAATTATCTCAAAGGCAAAAAAATTCTTTTAAATCTGGAAACCTATAAGGAATGAATAAGCTTCCAGGGGCCTGTAAGCCTCCCTTCCCAGAGCCGTTTTTAGTGAATGGAAATTTCTGGTATTTCCCATTGTGTTTTTACGGAATTTTACTTTAGAAATTTTGCACTCTGAAGATATTTAGGATATAATTAAATATCTGAAGGTATTTAGAATTATTCATTTTTGGTTCTGTGACCCTGGAAATCTCAAAATGTTCGTAATGAGGCCGAACTGACATTATCGGCGATTGCAAGTGAATGTAGGGGAGCCTTGAAATAAATGGGTTGTGATTTACCAGCTTATGTTTGCTGCCAATTTGCATGTGCTGTAATTTAAATGGTAAGGCTGAAGCTTAAAGTGCACGCTTGATGTGGGATGTGAGAATTGATAGGAGGATTTATTTTTAGACTATGGAGGCCTTGAAGACAACATGCACGATGCTGGAAGAGCAAGTAATGGACTTGGAGGCCCTGAATGATGAACTCCTGGAGAAAGAGCGTCAGTGGGAAGCCTGGAGAAATGTTCTAGGGGATGAGAAGTCCCAGTTTGAATGTCGAGTTAGAGAGTTGCAGAGGATGCTGGATACTGAGAAACAGAGCAGGTCTCTCTCCCCTCCTTCCCCTTTTGTTAACTTTTATGAAAATGCTCTATAGAAGCTAGTACAAAAATTATATTTAGCATAGGATATGGGAGTTGGAACTAAATATAAAATCTTGTGAGGTAGTTCTAAAAATGGTTTATTAGTTAATAGTCATTCACCAGTGATATTGTTCCTTTTGTTTCTTTGCAAGTGAGAGATTCATGGGGAGTGGTATTTATCACTGTAATTTTAAAAATGTCTTGATTTATTATCTTCGACTTTATTATATGGAAAAACAGTCTTTGTTCCTAACTCTTCCTGTGGGGTCTTGAAATTTTAAGGCTGTAGTTCTAGCAGGGGCAGGAACAGTTATATAATATAAAAGTGTTGCAGCAAACAGTCTGGCTTCATAAAGTAACATCTTGAATTTTAGGCAACCCCTGAAAGAGCTCTTGATGCCACTGCACACCAGGGAGAGGTCAAGCCTGTAAGGAGTTAGGTAACATTATTTTCCATTTTAATGCAGAGTGAGAGCAGATCAGCGCATTACTGAGTCTCGCCAGGTGGTAGAACTGGCTGTCAAGGAACACAAGGCAGAGATTCTGGCCCTCCAGCAAGCACTCAAGGAACAAAAGCTCAAAGCAGAGAGCCTTTCTGATAAGGTAAGTAACTTTCAACCCTAGACTTCTATAATTAGATGAAATACTTTTCTGTTGATATTATTTGTAGAAATGTGGCCTCGAGCAGCTTTTTTCAAGATGTTAAAACAAATTAAAAAGAACTGGAGGTCATAGAATAGAATTCTATCTTTAAGCCAAAGACCTCAGATTATCTCTGAAAAAGACTAAAGCAAAAGCAGCCTATGATGCCTGGAATGGTGAAGTCCTTCAATGATTTGGTATCTGCATTTGAACACTCCAAAATGTCATTTGGTTGGTTTTTTGCAAGTAAGGAAAGGATAATTATGTCATTATTTAGCATGTGCTTGGTGAAGTTGGGTTTTAGGATTGTGGAATGCTCTATTTATCAGTGTTCAGTGTTATCCTGAGCCTCTATCCCACCTGCCTAGCTCAATGACCTGGAGAAGAAGCATGCCATGTTGGAGATGAACGCTCGCAGTTTACAACAGAAGCTTGAGACAGAAAGGGAGCTCAAGCAGAGACTTCTGGAGGAGGTAACCTTGGAGACTCATGTTAGAACTTCAGAAGGTTCCACATCTTGAGGGGGGGAGGTTGTGTGAATAAGTGTTACACATCCATCCTTCTTCTATATAACTGGGGAGATTAATCAAGGTGGGGGAGTTGTTTTTACTTAAAACTTTGCAGAGTGTGTGGCTGTGTTGGGGAGCAATAAGAGTGAACTGCTCCTCAGGGGAAGGTGAGCTGGGAGCCAAGAGGAGGGCAGCACATCAGGCAAGGACAGAACCTTGCACCCAGTGGGCACAGACCCACAGAACTGGAACAAGAAGAGCAGAGCAGATTTGGGGAAGGTACCCAGGTTCAGTGGTGGCTCAGTGATCATTACAGAAGCCTGTAGCCATGGGGCAGGTCTTAGGCCAGGTCTGCAAGGCCAGGTCTGTGCCCAGGCACACCTCTGACCAGGCCAAGTGCAAGGACCACAGCTCTTTAGGCAATGTGCTGGGAGTGCACAGGTGGAGGTCACAGGTGAGGCTTCTCACAGCCCTTTTTCATCATTAATTTGGGTCACAGGAGTCAGATCCAAGGTCACACACCTGCACCATATCAGGGAATCATTGAACACAGACAACGAGTCCCGGGTGGTGGTGGAAGAGGGTGCAGAGGAGGATTTCAGGGGAAGGGTGGTTATGGGCAATTAGAGTCTTCTGGTCTTCTTGGGGTACTGGCAGGGTACCCCAGAGCTGAGAACTCCATTATGCATCACAACAAAAGATTTCTGGCTCTTGCTTATTACATATGACTGTTCATGGTTTTCCTTCTCAGGGACTTTCTCATCAATAAAGTGTAAATTCTAAAAGAGTAGTTTGTCATGTGCCCTTTTCTGTTGTTAGTTAGAGACAAAGATGTAAACAGTTGGACATAATTTTCCTTATCTCATGTGACTATGACTAGCCTGGTTTACAGTAAAGATTATTTTTTTAATTTATTATTACAAAGTACTGAGATGGCTCCTGGTGGTTGTATAGAGAACTTGAGAAAGTGGTGTCAAGAAACTCTTCATGTGCAGTCTAATTAACAATTCTGTATGTGCAGTCTAATTAACAATTACAAGATTTTAAGTGCTCAAAAAAGCAAATAACTTGAACATGCAGGTGAAAGAAATGGCACTGCTACAGATTAATATAAATACTTTACATAGAAATGCTTGTTTAGTTTTAATGCACTTTGGAAGGAAGGGAATCTTCTAGAATGTTGTAATATTCCAGCTTTTAAAGAGGTGCCTCTTTACTTTAAGTTCTGCAATGATGCTTCTTTTACAAGGAGTGATAATGCTTAACTCGTTTCACTTGTTTTAGTTACAAACAAGCAAGCAACAACCCCAAAACACTGGCCTTTGTTTTCCTATTAACAGCAGGCAAAGCTGCAGCAGCAAATGGATCTGCAAAAGAATCACATCTTCCGCCTGACTCAAGGTCTGCAAGAGGCTCTGGACCGAGCAGATCTTCTGAAGACTGAAAGGAGTGACCTGGAATATCAGCTGGAAAACATTCAGGTGAGGGTGAGGAAGCAGGGCAGGACTCTGCCTCGTTCCCTCTGAGGTTTTAGAATGTTCTACTGTTTCTGTTTGACACTTCCCTTACACTGTTTTTTAGCTCTGTTTTGCTATTGAGTTATCTGTTTGTTTCTTCTGATAAGATGAAATTTCTTACACGTGTGTGTGGTTCACAGGTTCTCTATTCCCATGAAAAAGTGAAAATGGAGGGCACTATTTCTCAGCAAACTAAACTCATTGATTTCCTGCAGGCAAAGATGGACCAACCAGCAAAAAAGAAAAAGGTGGGTGAAGCAGGTTTGGGAGACATGGAATTAAATGGTTTTGTGATTGGTTATGTGCTGTGTATTCTTAATATTCTGTTTTATCTTCCTTTGTGTAACAAAATGTGTCTCATTTAAGACCACTCCGAGTTGCTGAATGCAAACTTCACTAGGCAGAATGTGTTCTTTGTGGCCTTTCCTGTATTTTGTTATTCCTACAACCCAGTAGCTCCACCTCAGTGAGGCTGTGGGAATACAGAATTTTAAGCATGTTTTTATTTAATGGTAAGTATTTACATGTGTATGAACTTAGTGTGCATCTAGAGTGGTTGTCTTGTAGTCACAGCATAGGACTAATTAGTCAGGTGATGTGACTTGTGTCACATCCTTGTCATAAGCTGTTCTGTCATGTTGAATTAAGTAATTTAATTTTAACCACGTATTTTGAGATCCTCTGTTTAGATGCTTTCGGAAACTCCAGGTGTGAGTACTGACAGGTAACGTACGTCCCTCCTTAAATGAATCCATATCTCAACATTTTCTCTCCAGTGCCAATTTGAACTAAAAATCCATCCTTAAGCATAACAGAATTGCCATTAGGCCCTCTGGCCGGACTGACACTAGCCAGTGTCACCTTGCCTAGTTTAAGCCATCTCTTGCTAGGAGTTAGGAGTTGTCTGTGTGTTTCTGTTGCTAGGGCCTGTTTAGTCGGCGGAAAGAGGACCCTTCTTTACCCACACAGGTTCCCCTGCAATACAATGAGCTGAAAGTGGCACTGGAGAAGGAGAAGGCTCGTTCTGCTGAGCTGGAGGAGGCTCTTCAGAAAACACGCATTGAACTCAGATCTGCTCGTGAAGAAGGTAGGGGTTAACAGAAAAGGTGAATCTGGAAGGAGACACACGTTTTTGGTCTGAAAACGTGCCTTTAATTGTGTGCCACTATAGCAGTAACTCGTGTTGTTTAATCATGATCCCCTCTTGTGAAGATGCAATGGGGCTGCGCTTTGTTCTGCGGGTTGTGACTGCTGAGCGGTCACACAGAACCGCTGCTGTGAGCCGGTGTGTCGTGTTGGTTGTGGTAACTGAAGTGGCACTTATCTTGTCTGTAGCTGCTCATCGGAAAATATCCGACCACCCTCATCCATCCACTCCAGCCACGGCCAGGCAGCAGATCATCATGTCTGCCATAGTCCGCTCCCCGGAGCACCAGCCCACTCCCATCAGCCTGCTGGCTCCTCCCTCCAGCCGCAGGAAGGAATCCTCCACACCAGAGGGTAGGCTCCTGGCCAGCTTCTTCTCTCTGTCATGTCAATGCCATCTCTTTATTTTTAACTCCAAACCCCATTTTTTTTAATTGTAGGGTTATCAGATGATGAGTTTTGCTTTTATTTTTTTGTTTTGAAATTCTGTTTGGATAATATGTTTCTGAAAACTTCAGTAAGGAAATAATTATTAGCATGAATTGTTTTAAGAGTATGTTTCTTTCAAAGGAGTATGTTTTCTTCAAAGGAGTTTGTTTTCTGTTCTACTCCCTGCATTGACAAAGGGATTTATGGGTGTTTTCTTAGCAGTTAACAGTTTTACTTGTCTGCAGATTTGTTCTGCTAAACGGAAAGTTTCTATCAAGGCTTCTGGTAAAGGGAAGAGACTTGGGTTAGGCATAAAAGGAAGATACCAGGTCAAAGATGACATTAGTATCCTATTAACTAGAAAAAGGTGATATCCTTCCATATTTTTGAGAATGAAGGGGGGAGGATCACCAGAAAAAAGAGTGATTGAGGACTCTGCTCATTTATTCTTGGTTAACCAGTGTTCCAGAGAGAGACTCTGAACTGAGACCTCCAGCCTTTAGCTGGAAAAAGCCAGAATCCACAGACTGGTCCAGCCCTGACAGGGAACTGGGGAGGCCCAGGGTGCTGTGAGGGTGGGTAGCATTGCCATGGGGAAATGTCCTCAGAGGCAGGTCATGGGCAGGGAAGAGAATCATGTTCATCAGTAAAAGACAATGCCTTGAAGGATAGATCCACTAACAGGGATTTAAGATGCTTTATGAGTGCAGGGGCTGGTGTTACAGCATGAAGGCTGCAGGAAGGAGTGTACTGATTGCCCAGGATAGGTGTGGAGGGGTTTGTTAGCTGTGAGCAAAGCAGAGACATTACTTTAGCACATCTGAGTGCAGGCTTGAAATTTAGGTGGTTTGATTGACATAGCCTTGCTGCACATGAGCTGTTACAGTTCTACAGTCTGTTCTACAGCCTGTGCACCTGTATAAGGTAATTCCTGAGGCTGTAACGTAGCTTAAGATGTGCAGATTGCAAAGGAAAATAGCGTCTGTGTTCAGCAGGGCCTTCACAGATAAATGGTGTCACTTTTTACTGCCTTCAACTGCCCAAACCTCCTGTAACTTTCCTCTCCCAGTGTTCCCCCTGATGATAAATGTTGTCCCTTCCAGAGTACAGCCGCCGCCTGAAGGAGCGAATGCACCACAACATCCCCCATCGCTTCAACGTGGGGCTGAACATGAGGGCCACCAAATGTGCCGTGTGCCTGGACACGGTGCACTTCGGCCGGCAGGCGTCCAAGTGTCTGGGTGAGGGGGCACAACACGGCGGGGCTGGGGGGGCAGGAAGATCCACAGCCAGCTAGAACAGATTTTTCAGTACCAGCTGAAGAAAGGACCGATATGAAGGCTTTGAAACTAGTTGGTGCAAACGTTCTGCGTTAGAAATCATCTGGTGGTTTAGCGTGGAAGGAGGTTCTTGGAGAAGCCGGGATTTGCGCGGTAGAAGTTGAGGCAGCTGTGTCATGATTTTTGTGTCGTTTAACATAAGTTTTTCTCTGTCCTTTTTGTCAGAATGCCAGGTGATGTGTCACCCAAAATGCTCAACTTGCTTGCCAGCTACTTGTGGGCTGCCAGCAGAATATGCCACGCACTTCTCCGAAGCGTTCTGCCGGGATAAAATGAATTCTCCTGGTCTGCAGCTGAAGGAGCCAAGCAGCAGTCTGCGTCTCGAGGGGTGGATGAAAGTGCCAAGGTATAAACGGGAATCTTGGTGCCATATCAGGTGCTGAAATATTTGGAAGAGTTCCTAATATTATCCTGGCTCTTACAATGAGATAATTTCCCCGTTGCATGGGCATTACAGTTACCACCACTACAATTACAATTGCTGCACTGAACTTTGTAGGAGTTGCGTGTTTGTTTTATGTAAGATCTGAGCAGAAAGTCCAACATGGCTTTGTGCTTATTTTCTTCAGGAATAATAAACGTGGGCAACAGGGCTGGGACAGGAAGTATATTGTCCTGGAAGGAACCAAAGTGCTCATTTATGATGCAGAAGCAAGAGAAGGTAACTTAGCATTTCTAGGAAGAACCTATTTTTTTAATCTTCAGATATTGTTTGGTGAGTTGAGAGGCTTAAAGATTGTTACTGTTTGCTATGGTCATATCTAGTTTAGCTAAATCTCCAGTAATAAGACAACATCATTGTTTTTCTAGAGCCTTAACCATTTTATTAGCTGGCACGTCATAATAATCCAGCTGTGAAACATCCATTGTGCATCCACTTCATTTTGCTATCACAGTTATTTTCTTGCTACCTCTTTGTTCATTCTTAATCTGTCTCCCCATTCCCCTGCAGCTGGACAGAGGCCTCTGGAGGAATTTGAGCTCTGCCTTCCTGATGGTGATGTAACTGTTCATGGAGCTGTAGGAGCTACTGAGCTTACCAATACAGCAAAGACAGGTGAGAATCTTACGTAGATGAGGTCAAATGGATTTCATCTGGCTTGCCATCACTTAGCCTTCTGCTTGGCTGAACAGAATATTCTCCCTTTAACTTCCATTCTGTAACTCTGTAATTTTGAGGTTACCTCTCTCTGAACTGGGGGAATAGCTCAGCACTCTAGATCTGGTTCCATGCAGGCCGTTGCTTCTGTCGTGGTAGTTGCACTGTGGTTAATATGATCATCCACCCAAATGGAAGTAAATTCCCAGAGATTTGTAGCGTAAACACTCGGTTTATTTAAATTTCTTCTCTATCAAGTGTGATGTGTCATACCTCATGCCACCATTGTGCTCTCACCAGAAAGCCATTAACTTAGAAGTACTGTGGGATGTATAGTCTCTTATTATGGAAAAATGTTGATGTGTTGATTTGTATGTACTGAATAGAACTGATGATAAGATTCTGTATGTCTTGACTTTGACATTAAAGGATACAGATTGTTAAAAACAAAGGTTTCCATAACCAGTTTTTACAGATTTTTCTTAATCAGTACAGGGAAAACTTTAGTCAACTGGCTGGTTTTCTATTTTTTTTTTTTTTCCGCAATGGAATTTCTTTCTCTTTTGAATAAAAGGCAAGAAATTATTTTTGTTTAGTAAAGAGAGCATTGTATGTATGGATTGCATACATCCAGCTAATATTTAGTTGTAAGTAACTAGCCTGTGCAGGACCTGTAAAGGAGAAACCAGTGTATCAATTGCCATGGTAACATGTCATGATAAATACAACTTCTCTCCAATGAGGCTGAAAGGTGTTGATTTTAAGTCCACTGACAATATTCCAAAAACTAATCTAAGTCTTATTCTATCTATATAACATCTCAGATGTGCCATATATCCTAAAATTGGAGTCTCATCCACACACCACTTGCTGGCCTGGTAGAACACTCTACCTGTTAGCACCCAGCTTCCCTGACAAACAGCGCTGGGTCACAGCACTGGAATCAATAGTGGCAGGTGGGAGAGTTTCCAGAGAAAAAGCTGAGGCTGATGCTGTGAGTATGAAAGTTTCGTTTAATAATAAAATATTCTGGGAGGGAGCAGAGTTTTGAAAAATATTTTTTCACTATTTGACGTACTGAGGTTTAACTGAAGGTAAGTTATTGCTTCTGCCTTATGATGTACAATGTGAGCACCAGGAACTCGTTCATTGTGAGACTGATGCTTTATGTTACAATACCCTTCAAAGACATGGGGAGTGTAGTAAGAGAGTCCCAAAATATCTCTGTAATTCCAGCAAAGGAAGGAAGAGTGGTTAGCACATGGTTTAAATCCAGTCTCATAAGGTACCACATGGAACGAGCAAAGAAATAAAGAAAGAAAGTAAAAAGCAAAAATTTATGGAGTCAGAGGTTTTGTTGTTTCTTGACTGGGGGGGGAAGGTGTGTGTGTGTTTTTAAGTTTGTTTTATTCCTAATAGGAATAAAAGCTTGTTTAAGTTTGTTTAGGTTTTGGATAGCCTTTTTCACATCGTGTACCAGAAAACTATTTTCTGGTAAAGGGAGATTGGATTCTATGGCATCATGTAAGTGAATGTTAGCTCTGGAGGCAGGGAATATCTGACTAGCAGGAAATTCTCTTTTTTTTTCTCGGGCTCACGTTCCTTTTGTCTGTGAGAAAAATACGTGCTCCCACCAACATTTGTACTTTTCTTAAATCCTTCCTCTCAGAAAATTCCACTGCTCTGCTGTAAGAGATTGGGAAAATGGAAAGGATAGGGGCAATAATGGATTCTGTCTGAGCTTAGGATAATTCTGATTAGTTTGCCTTACTGTATGTCAGGTAGATAAAAGTCTACTAATTCTTTTGTAGGAGGCATCCCTGCAACTTTTAGCTTTCTGAGAAAAAGCCAAGCTTTTTGCCTATCTGAAATGATGACCTTACCTTGTTAAAATGCTCACAGATAAAGAAATGAAGATTAACTCAACAAGAAAAAAAAATATCTTTTTGTCATTTGCAGAAACTGCTTGGAAACTCCCTGCTGAAGCTGGAGGGTGAAGACCGTTTGGATATAAATTGCACAATGCCCTTCAGTGACCAGGTAATGATGATGTTCAGTGGGGCCTTTCTGACTAGTGGATAATTCATTCATGGAAGTGGTGTCTTAATGGCAATAGGTGTAATTACACACTTGCTTGTGGGTTTGGTTTTTTTCTCTTCACTGCCAACGAGTGTCATCCAAGTTTGCTCTTGGAGCATTCCTTGTTCACCTCATGCAGTGCTATTTTTTCCCCTGTTGTAGGTAGTGCTGGTGGGTGCAGAGGAAGGTCTCTATGCCCTGAATGTCCTGAAGAATTCCTTAACACACATCCCAGGAATGGGTGCCGTCTTCCAAATTCACCTCATCAAGGACCTGGAGAAGCTCCTCATGATAGCAGGTACTGGGCTGTGTGTTACCACTGGCCCTGCAGGGAGTGGATGGGACTGGCTTTGTGCTGCACTGAGGTGCCAAAGGGCCCTTTCCCTGTGGATTCATCACAGGCTTTTGTCTGGTCCTTTGTCAGTATTTGCCAGGAGTCACTTACTGTGATTAACACAGCCTGGTCTGAGGCTGGTGAATGGAAATGTAATGAAGGCTCAGTTAAACCTTCCAGAGAAGGTGATTTCTCTGTTTCCAAAGCTGAAGGAGGGAAGAAACAGAGAAAAAACATTTCCAGGTTAGAGGTCAGTCATCATTGCAAGTCCAGTTTGAAAAGTGTTGAGCTGATTAGTGAGCATCTCTCCTCCTAATCACTGCATAACCTTTTTAATTAACTGTTTGAGGACCACGATGTGATCACTGTGGCATAGGGTCAGTAACTCTTAACCTCTCTTGCCCTAAATACTAATCCATGTAACAAAGCTGGGACTTCCTGTCATGATTTAAGATTCCCTTCTGAAAGGAACACAAGTTTTAATGTCTCCATCTGTGGTTTTCCAGAGATAATCCTTCCCACACTGATGTAGGCATGCTGAACATTAGGGTGTATCTGAAGCTGAAAGCCCAAATTATCAAGTGTCTATATGACATTTGTAGGGAATGAAAAACAAATTTTCTCTCTTGTTCTGTTTGTTCTGCATTTTTCCCCTTGTAAGGATTTAAGCTGTCCATGCTTTATTTGTGTCAGGGTGGTACAGAACAAAGCAAATCTCACACATAATGAGGAGAGGGCTGTGTTAGTCTGTTGCTGGACTTCTGAGAAGAATTGTGTTTGGGCTATAATGCAATTTATTAGGCCACTTCTTGGAAGTCCCTTGCCAATTATCTTGGCACAGAGAGGTTAAAACATCTTGTACTTAAAACATCTTGTACTTTAAGAAGTTCTGAAGGGTAAAATAAAACTTCCTGGCTAATTTTGAATGGTGTCCTAATGAGGCCACAGTCGCTGTGATCTGCTAGACCTTAGCAACACTAATAACTCACAGAGGGAATGGTTGTTCTCTCAGTGGATTTACTGCCTGTCGTGGGGTTTGGTTTCTCTAAGTTTTCTGTTTCACTTTGAGTAGGAATAATATGGGATGAATTCTACATGGTACCTTGTGACTGTTTCCACAGTAACAGCCTGTAATGAGGAGCTGCTGCTTAGGTAATAGGACAGACTTTTGTAGAGAATAGGGAGCCCTCCCTTGACGAAATGGAACCGTTTTTGTTTCCAGGAGAAGAAAGGGCTCTGTGTCTTGTTGATGTAAAGAAAGTGAAGCAATCTCTAGCCCAGTCTCACCTCCCAGCCCAACCTGATGTCTCACCAAATATCTTTGAGGCTGTCAAAGGATGTCACCTTTTTGCTGCTGGCAAGGTAGGAAACAGCTCCCTCGTGCCTCCAGACCTCCCCTTAAACTGCTCTGAGTTTAATATTAGTAAAATCAGCATCTTTATTCCACTGGCAACACATCCAAGGTCTGTATTCTTGTTTTAAATATTTTTCTTCAAATAAGAAGAGTGTATGGGCTGAAGAGAGGCTGAGCTGGAGACAGAATGGGGAATCTGCTACTAATATGGATAAATTTAGCCAGGATGCCATGGTGGTGTAGCCTAAACTGCTAGATAAAAGAAATCCAACAGAGCATAGTACAACTGCCTCCTCACCACTGACTGTAATTTTGAGATTTATAATTAGTGAATTCTATCCTCTGTTCTTTAATGCCATGTTCCCAGGCCAGCAGATTTCCTTAGGTGTTTGCATCACTTTAATTCTTGACATTTACATAAATTACTGGTTTTAGTAATGGAACATTTAACCATAACAAAAATACTCATTAACAACTACTTCTGTGGACTGCTTTGGTAACAAACTGAACACCATTCATTTCAAGGTGATGTTTAAGATAACAGTTTCAGGGATTGAAATGTAGACCTGACCTATTTGAATTTGTTAATCCCTTTCCTGTGGAAAACCTTCTAATTTTTTATTAACTTCTTCCAAGTATAAAGGAGATCATAGAAGCCATTTACATTCACATTCTTTTTTGAGAATGTGAAGAGGCTTTTCATTATTCCAGGAATTCACAATAATTACCCTTTTAAAAAATTGTACTTGCTTATCTCTGCAAAGCTCTTTTTGTGGCAAGAGGTAACTTGGATCCGTTTCACTTGCTCAGCAATAGAATTTACTCTGTATTACCATCCTGAACTGTGCTTGTTATCTTCCTTACAGGTTGAGAACACTCTTTGTATCTGTGCAGCCATGCCCAATAAAGTGGTGGTTCTGAGATACAACGAGAGCTTGAGCAAGTTCTGTATCAGAAAGGTGAGCTTAGTAATATCCTGCAGTAGCTGAGGTAATTCACAGAGTGCACTAAACCTTTGTTTAAAACAAACATCTAGAACCTTTTTGCATGCATGAGAACACTTGTTTGCCAGCTAAAATGATAACAAATTGTGCTGTGCACTGACTCAAAGTAGAGTAGGCAGCAATTTCCTTTAATAAGAGTTGGCATATTTGGAGAGATGCAGAACAGAACTGTGACTTCTTGAGATATTGGATTCAGCTGTAATTGTACCCTCACTTATTTGGTCCAAAAAATGGCTTTCTTAATTATCCAGCTGTCTTAATTATCCTCACCTCTGTTGTCTTTGGAGAAATCCATAACAAATTACTTCACTCTTCTTTGCAACTGTGGAAGCAATGGGTGTCTGAATTTGTCCTACTGCACAAGTGAAAACTGAAGGGTATATTGGTGTTATTCCATCTCAGGATAGGCAGCTCTTTCCCCTACTTATCCTGGTACATGTGTGCTTTCTCCTGGCAGCAAACAAGGCCGTAAGGTGTGGATCTCTCGTGGCTGTGTGTGCCCTCTCTGTACAAAACCCCAGCCACCTGCAGCCCCAGCCCTGTGTGGAATCTGCACAGGTCCTGCTGCCCTCTGCCATGCAGGGAGGGAAAGCAGAACTGCTGCAACTCCCCTCAGCCAGCTGCAGGCAGATCACACTCAGAGCATCTGACCCACTGCTCTTCTCAAACACAACTCCAATGGAATGTCAGGAATAAATTTTATATGCTCATGTAGAACCAGAGGGAACCCCCCAAAATAATAGGGATCTCTCCTCAGAACAAAGAGTTTAAACAGCCTTATAAAAGGCTGGCACCCAGAAACTCATGTCCTCTCCAATTCACAAATTAAGGGATGTTCCAGTCAAACCACATCCCTGTGAGGTTCTGCAGGTGGCTTTGAAGGCACTGGTTCAATTTACAGCCTGATTGAGGCTGTTATTCCCACTGAGTGCTACATGGGCACTGCTGGAGGGAAGCAGTGGGCACAGTCATGCAGATCTGGCCTCCTCAGGAGGAAAGACATGTCTTGGCACAAACAATGCAAACCTGGAACATCTACAGGCATTGTAGCTGATACCAACCCCTGCTCACAATGGAGCAGCAGCCAGCAGGAAACACTGAGGATGTACAGCCCTGTCCTTTGACAAGGGAACATGCAAAGGCGTGTTTTAGAAGGCAAGTTTTCCTTATCTCCACTAATCCAGACAACTGAATTTAGATCCTAACAAGATGGCAGCAAGCCCAGAATATGCTCTTCTTTTCTGCCAACTAAATTTCCAGATAAGCTAGGAATTATGCAAGGAATCTTGTCCTCAGAAGATCTGGGCATCTGTGTGTTGTGTCAGGCTAACCTGCAGAGCTGTCCTAGCTGTGCAATCATCACAAGGCAGGTCTTGGGCAACATCTCTGTGTAATGTTGTACAAAGCAGGAAGGAAGGAATGTTTTGTATGTTTGTCTTCCTTAAGGAGCCATCGAGCTGATCTCTGGAGTGTTAACAACTTTAGGGAACTGATTCTTGCTCTTGGGAGGATCATGGACATGCCTGCTGACAAGAGTTCTGCTCCATGGGTTAGAAAGAGTTTGGGACTTGACTGGGGTCAGTCCTGCTGCAGTTGTCTGGGCAATTTTGTCTGCCTTTCCAGCAGCTGCCCTGATTCCTGGTGACTTCCAGGCTAGGAAGTGATTGTTCCAGCACAGCTACACTGGAGCTGGAGCAGTTCTGACAGATAAACTTCCCAGTGACAAGCCTGTCTTACAGCCCCAACTGCTCAGTCCTGGTCTTATGTCATCTCCAAGCCCTGTCCAGGCAGGCAGTCCTTGGCATGGCTGTCACCTACTGTAAGCAGGGAGCTGCTCCCTACTGCTCCAGAAAACTGAGCTGCAGAGCAGACAAGTGTCTTCCAGAACAGCATATTCTTCCAAAAGGAAGAGGATAATATTGGGCTTAGCACCTGGAGCTGAGTTGATATGCAAGTCTGTATTCAAGCAAGTATCACTTCCAACAAAACAATTCTTTTAACAAGAGGTTTTTTTCCATATCCTTTTGAGACTTTGGCGTTGCCATCTCTCTCTTTATAAAGACATATGTGGCAGTTTACAATCTTCCAGACTAAGCATTATCTGTAAACTGCTACAGGGAACTAATATCTGTCCATACTGTCCTCTTTTCCAGGAGATTGAAACCTTGGAGCCTTGCAGCTGCATCCATTTGACCACTTACAGCATCATCATTGGAACCAACAAGTTCTATGAAATTGAGATGAAGCAGTACACGCTGGAGGGTAGGAGACAATTCCTGAGGAATGCTCCAAGTGGCTCCACAGATTCTGTTGGTGGGGCTGCTCTAAAACAGTTCGGGAAAAAGACATTGGTGCCAATCAAGGTGTTTTTCTCCATTCTCTTTGCAGAGTTTCTGGATAAAAATGACCACACTTTGGCCTCTGCTGTGTTTGCTGCTTCCACCAACAGTTTTCCAGTCAGTATCATCCAAGTGAACCCAGCGGGGCAGAGGGAGGAGTATCTGCTGTGTTTCCATGGTAGGTGTAGGATGGCTGTGCAGGTGTTGCACTACACCTGTTCTCTGGCACGTGAGCTGCAGAAGTGCTGCTGGATTTTAGGCAGCCTGTTTCTGGCTTAAAAGTTCTTCCTGCTGTGGATCAGTTGCTGCACGTAGACTGTGCCTGAAGGAAGGACTGCAGCCAGTGGAGTTAAGTGCAAACAAGTGTTTGATCATCCTGATAAATGTTCAGGGGTTCTCAGACCTGAGCTTTGTCTGGTTCCTGTGTAGACAGATGAGACTTTTTAACCTTCTTGTGATGAAATAAGAGAGGGTGTTATTTTTTTTTGATGAAATAAGAGAGGGTGTTATTTTTTTTGTGAAACTGCTTTTGTTGCCCTCTTGGGCAGTGTCATGGCAATGCACAGGAAGTCTTCAAAAGCAGTAATTCTGGGTGACTAATGGTAGGAGTCTGCAAACTGAATAATAACCTTACCTTAATGAGTACAGAGAGCCCCAGAACTGCAGCACCTTTTGGCCTGACACTACTCCTACATCTCACCAATTCCATGTCAATTGGAGTAATTCATGGCACTCCAGGATGTGCAAGATAATCTCTGCACCTTGTCCCTGATAAAAAGCCCGGGGTAACTGCCTTTGTCCCTTCAAAAAAAGGGAATAAAATTCAGGCACATGCTCATGACATGACATGACTTTTCCTGGCAGAGTTTGGTGTCTTTGTGGATTCCTATGGGAGACGCAGCAGGACAGACGACCTGAAGTGGAACCGCTTGCCCTTGGCTTTTGGTAGGTGTTGGGGGCAGTCACTTGGATTATGGAAATTATTGAAGCTTCCTCGTGGGGTGGGTACTCTGCACTCAGCACTTCTGTTTCCTTCTCGCTTTCCCAATTCTCCCAGAAACTATGGAGATTTCTCCACGATTTAAGCTCATCCAGATGGCAAAACCTTCTGAAGTATAAGCAATTTAAGGAAAACTAAACCAAAGTTACATTTCCTTAATTTTCCTAGTCTGACACTGACCGAACTGGCTAGTGCAATTTCTGATGATGCTTGCAAGTTTCTGAAATAGCCAAGAATATATGATGGCATTGTGGTTCCCTCAGGCTTTTCGTACTGCCTAATGGGGTTTTGTTCAGTTAATAGTCTGTTTTTAATGTCTTTTTCATGATACTTTGGTTAGTAAAGTCCTTGAGACACAGTTTCAAAGCAACAATTCTTTGAGCTCGCATCTCCCCCCTTAGTGATAGTGTCTGTGTCTTATTACAGAAAATGTATTCCTCAGTTTTCCCAGAGGGCTGTCAGGCTCTCTTGCACTCACTGATGTGATTTAGAAGTTTTTAACAGAGAATTTATTTTGTGTTTTTTCCCATCTTTGTGCTGCTCCTGCAGCCTACAGGGAGCCCTATCTGTTCGTGACCCACTTCAATTCCCTTGAAGTGATCGAGATTCAGGCACGAGCTTCTCTAGGGTAAGTTGTTCTCTTTTCACCCCTTTGAACAGCCTGTGGTGCAGAATATATGGACTTGCCAGGAAAAGGCAACCAATGCCATTGTAAAGACTTTTCCTGCAATTTTACCCAGAACTCCTGCACGAGCCCACTTGGAGATACCAAACCCACGGTACCTCGGGCCTGCCATCTCCTCAGGAGCGATCTACTTGGCCTCCTCCTATCAGGACAAGTTAAGGGTGATCTGCTGTAAGGGCAATCTGGTGAAGGAGACCAACAACGAGCAGCAGCAGCACCACAGAGGCTCCTCTGCCACGCGCAGGTACGGTGACATCGGGGTGTTACAGTCCCTCACAGTAAACCTCACCCATGATGCCTTTTCCCCTGATGTGGTGGAACAGATTCCCTTGTTCTGTTCTTAGAGAAGGAGGCTGGTGGTAGCTTGTTACTGTAATGCTGGAGGAGAGTCACTGATGTTTTAAAACCCAGAAGGGAAAAAACTTCATCTCTCTAGGAAGATGGGGATAATCTCCACAAATGCTTTGTGATCTTCCACTGGTTTACTTTGATGTTGTGATCAAGCTCTGACTTTGAAGCTTGGTGACCTCAGATGCTGTTGATATTACACTAGACATGGGTTGGCTGTAACAAGCTCTAAAGCAAGAGCCCCTCCCTGTCAAATAATGAGTCTGCCTTAGGGAGAGAGCATTGGGAAGTTGTGATGTGATACAGCACAACAGTGATACTTCACACAGGTGAATAAATACTGGGGCTGGTAGTGCCCCTGTGCACTGGAGACAGAGAAATCGAGGCTTGTAGCTCATCCCAACCTGGCCTGAACATCCCAGAAAATTCTGAGTGTGAAAACACATACATCAAACTTGAGTGCATTTTTATATGAGAAGTGTTTGGCTGAAGTGTACGAAAAGGTGTCATTTTCTGGCCTGTTCCACACACCTGACTTACATCAGCAATTCCTTAGAGGCACTTGACCAGTGTGGCTCATGTGATGGATACTCAGCTACCAAAGTATCTCTGCACTGAGGGCTGATGCTGACGCTTTTCACCTGAGCGCTGCTGGGCGTGTTATGGGGGAAAGTTACACTTTTGCCAAAAGAAAACATAACAAGAGGTTTTTGTCACTCAGCTGTTCCCATCCCTTGTTTTTGAACGACAGCAGCCCCAACAAGAGAGGCCCCCCCACCTACAATGAGCACATCACCAAGCGCGTCGCCTCCAGCCCGGGCCCCCCGGAAGGTCCCAGCCACCCTCGGGAGCCAAGCACACCCCACCGGTACCGCGAGGGCAGGACGGAGCTGAGGAGGGACAAGTCCCCTGGGAGACCTCTGGAGAGGGAGAAATCCCCAGGGCGGCTGCTGAGCACCCGCAGGGAGCGCTCCCCAGGGCGACTGTTCGAGGACAGCAGCCGAGGCAGGATGCCTGTGAGTGGTGCCAGAACTCCTCTTGCTCAAGTCAATAAGGTAAGCCAGAAGCCTGGAGACTTCTCTGTTCTCAGGACAAGGCTTGTATGTACTGCAGAAGGGCTGGGGGGACTGTGAAGTACAAGAGCAAATCAAATCTCACCCCTCTGCTCCTCAAATTATGTTAGAACAGAGCCCACATGGTGTCACTCCCTGGCTCTGTGACCATGTTCCCTGGGCTAGTTCTGTGACTGCAAAAGCTGCTTGACTCTAGAAAGGTGAATTTACTATCAGAAATCGAGTGATAGAGGATTTGAAGGGGGTTAAGGTCTGGGCCTGCTGTGCTCAGTGCCTGCCTGTCAGTGTTTACAGATGATGCCCCCTGGCAGGAGGCAGGACTGTGTCGTGGCTCCATGGGAGCAGCAGGTGATGTTCTGCTGCTGGCACCTTGTGCGTGGGAGAGAAACATCTGTGACTTGTAACCGTGGTTTTATTTCCCTGCCAGGTCTGGGACCAGTCTTCAGTGTAAGTCTCAGCTAGACAAAGTTACTCATCTTGACCTGCAGGAAAAAAAGGAAATATACTGAGTATATGCACTCCATCTGTCTGCTGCCCAGTTCCCAAACAGCATTCCTGGGCCAAAGCTCGCTCCGCAGCGGGAGCCGTGGCGCTTCTGAAGATCCTTCGCAGCTCAGTTGATTTCTCCGCACTTTCCTGCACTCCTGTTTTTGCACTTTGTACTACTGTTACTCTTTCAAGCAGTTCATGAACTTTTTGTATCCACTTTAGTCCCTAGTAGATCATCAAGGAAATGGGACTAGTGTCCTGCCCCAGGTCGTTACTGTGGTTAGCACCCCTTACCAGAGAGTTGGGCATAGTTCTGAGACGTGCTGGGAGCCCCTGATGGCCTGGAAACAGAAGGGCCAAGGTGAGTGAGTCTTTCAATAGGAGCTGTGGTTGGATGTTCTCCACAGAACATGAGAGAAAAAATTACTTCTGATTAGTCTGTTCACCTGCCACTTCTGAAAGTTATTTTGTTCTCACTAAAATTGCTCTAGAGCAGCTCTGATGGGGAGGGAAGAGCTCTGCTTTAACCGACCCCCCTGCCCGGCCCTGAGACAAAGTGCATTACCTGTAAGCTACTGGGTTGTAAGACTTTATCCAGGTCTTCTGCATGACAGTTCACTGCATGCTGCTGCACCATCACTGGCTGCTCTCTCCTTTTAGGTTGCTTTGCTGAGTAGTGTATTGTACCTCACTTGTAAATTAACCGAAACCTTTAGATTACGCTGCAAAATAACCGTTACTCTGGAAATTTGGCAACGAAGAGTTAACAAGCCTTATTCTATGACAAGAGTTACAGTCACACCTGTGTTCTCCTCTCAGCACTGGACACGGTCCCTTCAGCAATGAGTCCTGCCAGCCTCAGCTCCCAGAGGGAGCAGCCCGGGCTGGCTCCTGCCGTGAGCTGTAGCTTGTCCTACAATAAGATGCGGTGTGGTGGCACAGGACACTCACAGGGAGCAGCTCTGGCAGGTGCTGACACACCTTTGCTGCTGCCTGTCCGACCTCGAGCCTTTTATTGCTTCCTATTCTCTTTTGCTGTGAACATGAAGCAGAGAGCAAATGATTTTCAAAGCAGGTTTTTGACCATTCCCTCTGCAATAGCAACATCCTAAGTGAACAACCATGTTCTTTACAACTGGAAAGAGCAAAACTGCATCCAATCTTCCCTTGGTGCCACACTTGAAACTTCTGCTAGTCCCTTGCAAGCCTGTGCTAACCTGTTCTAGAAACCCATCAAAATTCCAATGCCTTGTCAGTGTCCTTTGGCGAGTTTCATGGATATTGTATTCAGTTCTCTTGTCTGTTGGGTTATTTTCAATCAGATGATTTGGCAGGAAACTTGCTGAAAGTTTTTGTCTCCTGGTCTGAATATTTTGAAAGGTCACAGAGATCAGTCTTTAAATCTTTGCATCTCATGGAAGATCTTCAAGACCTCAGAAATGGGCTTGTTGAGTCCTGAAAGTGTATATCTTGTGTCTTGTTCGTGAAATGCTTCCTGCTATAGAAATAGCTCAAAGGACTGTACATATTTACAAGAATCTTTATATTCGTAACAAAAGGGAATTGAATTGGTTTCTACTTTTTTATTGTAAACTGTGCGTTTTTCAACACTAGCTTTTTGTTTTACTGGTGGTTGTGGACAGCCATCTTCAGACACTGGAGGGCCCTCAGCTCAGTCCTCCTCGCTCCCATGAAGAAATATTGTAACATTAAATTGCAATTGAAGCTTGTTAGCATAAATGAGGTTTTAGGTCTCTAAAAGTACAGGATTTTTCTTCATTACCTTTTTATTATTGACAAGGGAGGGAACCAGAGGGCCAGTTCAAAGCTCCACCTGGAAAGTATTGAACTTTGTTGTTGAACAATAACCAAATAAAACAAATAACTATCTTGACTGGCATGGTGAAATGACGGCTTCCTTCTCCCTGGAGTCCCCCTGCCCATCCTGCCCCCTCCCAGCCCCGGGGCTGGGCAATCCACGGGTGTCACAGCTGACCTGAGACCTAACCCCGGCAATATTTAGCATTTAATACTCATCATTCCCTGAACAAGTAGTTGTAAGTGGCTTCACCAACCCCAAGCATGTTCACATGAACTACAACAGGGGTGGATTTATCCAAGTCCTTTACTAGAGCAGCAGTCAGCTGCAAACACCTACAGCTAAATCCTGCCCTCATGTGCTTCACCAGTGAGAGGGGTAGAGGTAAAACATGTGTGAGTATCTGGGAAAACAGTCTTGCCCTGGTAAATGACCCCATGCATCTTGAGCTGGAAAAAACCATCTTAATTAACAATGGTGTGATCTAATGTCAGGTTTGGGATTTATCCCAGCACCGTCCTGGTAGCAAAGTGGACAGAGACAGTTCCTCATCCCACTGCTGTAACATGCTGGTGCTTTAAGGCCTAATAGCTGCAACTTTAAAAAAAAAAAGACCATTCACAAATCCAGTCAGATTGAGTACAACCTGCAGAGTTACTGTACAGCTCAACTTACACCTGCTGGGAAAACTTGCTAGATCAGACTTAAATGTAAATAACATCTATTTTTAACTGAACCAGTTTTTACAGGGTCTGAAGTATTCTTTCACAGGAAGAGGTTTTTAATATTCACACTGCTGCCTACAGTAACTTAATTTGTCCTCCTACTGTTCAGTGTTTTTGGTTCTGTGCACATACCCACCCCCTCAGCCCTGACAAAGGGCTTGTTGGAGGCTGTGGGGGTGGGTTACCAATGGCTCCCCTTACGTTTTGGTCTACATGACATTCTCCATGAAAAATGCTCTACATAAACCCCGAGCTGCTTGATTTATCTATTGTGCCTACTATGATGTATATGATGAAATGCTGACTTGTTCAATGTTCCTTTATTTCTTTTACTGTGCACAAAGAATACTTATTTAAAGCTCATTGTTGCAGTCCTATGATGCATGATCCGAATTGTAACAAAACTAAACTAATCCAGAAACTGGTGGAGTAAAAAAAAATTATTATTTATTGAGCCTTTTGATTCCCAAAAACCCTGCACAAATCCATGTCAGCTGGACCCCCACAGGCTGTGCTGAAATTCATGGGGTCGGGGAGGGCAGGGAACTCTTGTTATTTCTGTACTGGTTTACTCCAGAGTCCCCAGAAGTGACTGTAACAAAAGTCTCTGCATCTACCTTAAAAAATGTGCTCTCCTAGCAACAGCCAAGAATAAACATAACAGCACAGACTGTGAGCTGTGGGTGGGGAATGTAAGTGAGCTAATAAATCCAACTCTTGATCCAGCTTTTGCCTTTGGAGGGAATTGATTCATCCCATTGCAATAAGGGAACACAGTGATTAATCTAATTCATTCACCCATCAAACAGAAAACAACCTATCAAAAACCAATAAAAAGACCCCAAAACCCACCCCCCCAGCAGAAACCAAAAATAAAAGCAGCCTTTACCTCTTCCTTCATTTGCTCTCCTGCAGATGTTCCTGGTGGAGAGAAAGGGATCAGGGGGCTGAGGGGGCTGTGGCTTACCTGAGGAAGGGTGTGGCTGCTGGGAATGTCAGTTGAGGCCACAGGTACAGGGAACATCTCACCTCCATCACCTGGTGCCCCTGACTGGAGAGGCCCTGGGGCCTGTGGGCAGCTGGGCTCACTCATTCCAGGGGCAGGGAAGAGTGGAAGTGGTGATGGATCATCATTCCTGTGGGGCAGCAGCTGGGCACACAGCCTGAGCCCCCCACCCTGGGCTCTGTGTTCCCCCTACAGCTTTTTTGGGGCTGCAAAAGCTGATGGTGGCTGCAGCCCCTGTACCCAGTGCTCTGCCAGCTGAGAGCTGCAAAGCAAAAATTAAAATTAAAATTAAAAAAAGAAAAAGCAACAAGCTTTCTATAAAATAATTGGTTCCATGCTGTGGTTCCACCACACCAGCACTGATAAGAGCCTGGAGTGAGTCATGCATATATGGAATTGGAAAAAAATCCACAAAGCTTAGCCAGAACTAATGAGCCTGAATCCCTAAATGCTTCAGTCGAGCATGCTTTCACCTGCCTTTCTGTTCTCCATGTCTCAGGGTTTCAGCTCCTTTAGTCACTGACATGTGAAAAATTTCTTTTGTAACTAGGAAAAAAAAAAAGAAAAACCAACCCAAACTTATTAAGCTACTGCTAAGCTTTTCTTCTAGCAAAAAAAAAAATTAGTTCAGGGTCACTCAAATAAGAAACTTGTGCTGTAATTTCCCTGCAGGCACTGAAAGCATTTAAGAGGCCTCCCTGCAGGACTTCTCTCTGCCAATACATTCTCACAGCCACTTTCTGTGAACACAGCTGAAAAAGTTCCCCTACATCACAAATAAACACCAACACCTCTGTCTTCACTAAGTGCAAGTGGAGAAAGTGTTTCAAGCTGCATCTCTGAATGAAAAGCTTGCACAACCCACTGAGCCATAAAACTGCAACCAGGCAATCACAGGTTATAAAAAAATAACAACTCATGAAGGCCAGGTTTCCAAAGATGGGAAGGGTAATAACAAAGCAAGTCACCCACTTCTCTTGAAAATGTTTTATTTGTTTCTAAAGAGGCTGAAAACAAAAGCAATTCTGTAGTTCAGAATACCAAATACTATCCATAGCACAGAATGAAGAAAAGAGTTTTCAGAGAAAACCATTGCACTGGACCCAGGTCTAACTCAGCTACTGGAGATATTGCAACAAGGCTGGTGAACAGACCCCAGGATGGCAAACCAGCCTCCCTCTGTGGCTGGTCCACTCTGCTGCAGCTCTGGCCCCACTCAGACTCCTCACAGATCAGTGCAGGGTGCTCTCCCCCACAGTGGGACGGGGCTGGTTATCATTGGCACAGTCACGGTGCCCCAGGCACCAACACAAGCCCGGGCGGGCCTGGGGCACACTGGCAGCAGGTTTGCATTAATGTTGCATTTGTTTTGGGATAAAACAGGCTGTGAGTATCAGGTACAGGCAGCCTGGCATTACTTTGATCACTCAGAAAACAGAAACAGAATAAAAAATTGCCCAGTTCCAGCCCTGGCACAGAGGGCTGCGGTGCTGCTGCAGCCAACACGCTGCAACTGCGGACACCGAGGGGCAAGTTTGGCCACTGGGACACAGGACACTTACAGTCACCTTCAGGCTCTTACTGAGGAACTAATTCCTAAACTGAATCCATCCATTTCCTTACAGCTACCTATGCCAGCTTAAGGAAGTCCTCATCAGTGACAGCAAGAGAAACCGGTCTCAAAAAGCAGATTACTGCCAAGACACATTTACGATTTACAGAAAAATCCAGCCATTAAAAACAACTGTCTTTACCAGAAATTCCACAGGGGAAAAGTATTTCAGTTCTCCTGAAGAGAAAAACTACAGAGCTATTCACAGTAGAACCCGTGCACCCCAGTCTACCGTAAAATAATAACGAGCTTGTAGGTGACTATGTTGCTGATTTTGCCCAGAAAAGGCTGCTACAAAAACAGATCATCAATATTCAAACTTACTTCAGCCATGCAAGTTTGGAACTTGCTACTGAAATGATTGTGTTTGATGAGTTATGGAAGCAGTAATAAGCTTGCTTTTGCTGAGTGTTATGCTCAGATCAGATTCCACAAGAATCCTGAACTTTCTAGACTTTGGGCTGACAGACTCAGAGCCTGCCTCGCTGCTAAAGCTCTTCGATCTGCTGCTGCCCTCACATTTTGCAGCCTAATTAAACTGGTGGTTTTTTAACTGAGCTGACAGTGGGCACTGACACCTTTGCCACCTGTCTAGTTGCCACGAAGCTGCCATTTCCAAGAACTTCCAAGGTGGTACTAGGAAAATAAGGCAAATATGGGAGAACCTGGAAGTCTCAGAAACAATATGAAATCAGAGTTCATTTGCTACAGCACAGAGCAGAAGTATGTTTGGTTAAGTGAAGCATTTTTTTCTGAGACTGCACTGGCCCAGAACAATTGGTCACAAACAACTACGATGCTCATATTGGCTTGTACAGCAAAGTAGTCACGTATTTCTTCTTGTAACGATGTGTAGCACTGAGCACCATCACTCCATCCTACAGGAGATGGAAAACAAGTGAGCATGTGACATGGATAATTAAATCTACCCCTGTGGGGAACATGCCCAGCCCTCTCACCTTGATGGAAAGCGCGTAGAGGTGGTTCAGCATGACGTGGTTGGGTTCAGGGAGCAGAGCGGGATCGCACTGGGAAGAGAAAGGGAGACAGTGTGAAAATAACAGAACTCACAGTTCACTCACCACAGCTGATGGGTGACAAACACTGTCTGTAACCAGCCATACCCCCAGTACATCACTGCTGCTTACCCTGAGCCCACCACAAACACAGTCACTGCCTCAGAACAACCCAAGACCCCTTTGGGTGAAACCCTCTGCGTCCTCACCATGACCATGAAACAAACAGCAACTACCTCTTATGTGCTTCTGGCTTCTTAACAGTTCAGAAGATTAAGGTTTTGGGAGAAAAACAGCAACCTAGTTCTCAATTTTGAAGAGAGTCAAGTAGAAAAATAAATTTACTTCAGATGAATCCATCTGGACATACATAATAAAAAACTTACCAATGTAGCAACTATCCTAAGGTTTTTCCTAAGCTGTCTCCTGTCTGTTCCCAGATTTTCTCCCCATCTGTTTCCACTCTCAAGGCCGTTATTCAGCAAAACAAGCTAAAGTACTCACAGAAATGCCTGTGTCCTTGTTCAGGATGACCTGCAACAGGTGTGGGGGGAGAATAGGTGGTGACTTAAAGCGCTCCTCTGCCTTGCAAACATAGGGCTCCTGGTGATATGGTCCTGGGGGTGAACTTGACAGCTCTGCCAGAGAGATGGTAAATATTTAATCTTAAATAGTCTGTAAGAATATCTGTTCTTTAGAGGTACTGAAAGAAATCAATGGCACCTAAGTACAACAACTGCAGCCACTGGTGCGGTGCCAGAGGATCAGTCACTGCCCAAGAGGAGATTTAAGATGCCAAAGTCTGCCTTGAAACAAGCTGAGGATTTGGGCAGCAGAGTTCTGAGGGCCTGACTGCACTCCAGAACTCCTGTCATCTCTGCCCAGCACTTCTCCAGCAAACATTCCACAGTGCTGCTCTGTGTTACCTCCAGGGAACCACAAAAACATGAGGTACCTGTGAAAGGAAACTGTCACTCCTGTACAGAGACAGGGGTATGGAAAGAGCTCTCAGAGCCTAAACCAGTCTAAGGAAATGCTGTTACAGCACATGCAGGGAAGGCACCTACTAGAATCTCCTCCTGGCTTTGTCTCACAAATAACACTTTCTCCAAAAAGGGTTTGTCAAGGGCAAAAACCAACCAAACACACCTCCTGCCTTGGGCTCAAAGGAGGATGTAAGGTACTGCTTCAGTCATGGTCTCCATCCCTACAGAGCTCTGTAACAAGCAGGTGGCAAGGCTGAGCTCAGACATGGCTCAAGTTAAATCCTACCTCTCTTCTGTTACACTAGAATATGAAACTTAAGACAAAAAAAAGTTTGTAATTATTCTAAGATACAGATAATTTTTATTACACTGTGAGAATATGATACATTCCCAAGCCTGTGTTAGCACTGCTAAATGCACCTAATTTCTGTCTCTTAATGTGCAACTTCTGACCCCCTCAGCCACTTCCTTAGCAGAGGAAGATGGAATTAGGAGCAATGTAGGCTGTCAGCATTGGTTTAATGTGGTAAAGCAGAGACTGATCCACCAACGAGTGCCCTAAAACCAGCCACTGCACATTGCAGGGGCAAAGAAACAGTTATTAAGCACCCATGAGCCCCTCCTCATCAGATCCACAGTGTTGCTCTGTCAGAGGCTCCCTCTGTGCATTCCACATTCTTCCTTTGTGATTTGTGATTCCTGCTCACATCCACAGGGCCTGACACAAGTGTGGATTAATCTGTACTGGAGCTTTAACTCCAGATAAAAAGGAAAATGAAATTTTTAACAGCTCTAAAAAGTGTGACATAAAATTACCAGTAAGCTCATACCAGACATGTCTGAACATTTCTGGGAGTCCACCATCAAAGCATCAAATACTTCAAAGTCAGTTTTCTTCACCTGGATGATGTTGTTGACAGTACCCAGCTGGCTGGTTACTACTGGCTGGGAAGAGGTAAGATACAAAAATCAGAATTAAAAAAAGCTTGTGGGACTGTTGAATTCTCAAAAGTACACAATCAGCATTACCAAGGATGAGGTATATTGCTTT